AGAGGAACATTCTGAACAGGTTTCACCACGCTATATTTTGATATATATCTATACTCACTTATACATTACACAAGACAGATTTATACAGACACAGTTATATGTTTATAGGCTTAGATTCATTCAGAGATGCATATAATTTCCAGCAATGGTACCAAGTGCCAACACTAAGTTCGTGTATATAGTAGTAAATAAACAGGTTTCAACATTATGTTTTTAAGTAACGAGTGGTTTTGTTGTGTGACAGGACAAGACCTCTTCAGAAGTATTCCATGATACACTTGCAGACGATTCACTACAAGAAATGATAACAAGCTGCCGTCAAGCACTATACGGGTTAAACTCTGCTGCCGCAGTATTCGTCCAGTCACTGTCGGAATTGTCTACAGCTTCTCCTCGAGATCAAATCTCAGGTGAACTGAGAGAACAGTTGTTTGGTGAAGCAGCTTTGATGATCCCAGAAATGTCTCATAAAGTCAATGAAGTTGTAGCCAAGATAATGCTTGAGCACAAAAATAGAACAAGTGACAGAATCGTCTCCAATTAGTTCAAATCAACTCTGTACAGTGAGTAGTCCAGTTACTTTACCATACAACAAATAATGAATAAATAAAAAGGGATTGTATGTTGCTCGTCCTAATTTGACAACTACATTGACTGGTTTGCTTTTCAAATCATATCCGTTTCTAATAGTACATAAATATACGCTTACCCTGTTAGGCTCCTCTATATCTAGTGACAGTGTAAGAACTTTTTTTTTTCTTATTAACTTGTTTGAACTTGTAAATTTGAAGATCGAATCTGTGATCTACAAAAAAAAAAAAAACGGATCCACCAAAGTAGTGAGTGTTAAACCTATGCATTTTTTTCGTATCTCTTTTCCTGTGAGCACTGAGAACTACTCCTAGTAGTCTACTACGACTATAGCTGCTGATTTCCATGGCAATTATAGACACTTTCTTTTCGTTTCTTTTCTGGTCACAGACTCACAGGTAATAGAGAGTTGTTTTATGATAGAAGCTACTAGTAATATTATTGATATATCTCTACTACATGTTTCTACATATTCGGTACTTAACATATGACATGTACAAATGATAATCTTCTTTTTTTTTTTTTTTTTTCTTTTGGTGTAAAATAATATACGCGGTGATATATTGTGTGTCTCAAACCCATCTTGAAATTGAGAGAGGACTACATGACTAGTAAAAATACTCAAATCGTATTTGCCTTTAAAAAACCAAAAAAAAAAAAAAGATTGAAATAAAGCAAAGCCTAGAAATTTGTCCTGTTTTGAGTGCTTTTCATTTTATTTTTTTTGTCTTGCTTTAGTAACATGCAAAAAGAAAAGAAAAAAACAGCTCCCTCCTTTATTGGGATTCCTCATTCTTTTAAATTCTAACAAAGAAATCTCAAAGTAGCTCCCTCCTTCTCTTATATCTCTTTCTCATCTAGTCCACACATCTTTCTCTATATAGTTCTTTTTTACTCATTAACGGACATGTGATCTAATAACTTAGGTTTAAACTCAACAAAATATATATATGTCTATTTGAAGTATGTATGGGAGTTTTAAGATTTCATATGAAATATTATTCTTGTGTGCCATATGATTATTACAATACACACTAATGATACCACATGTTCGATAACTAGCGCACAGACCATATAATCCATAAGGCTATAGTGTACATTACAAATTACACAATAGGGATACCGGATACAGTAATACATGGACACTTATTATTGGTAGTTAATAAGTGTATCTGAGTGACAAAAGATCTAAAGAGACTTTCATAAATGTGAATAGAGAATGACATACACAAGAATGTTGGGTCCAAAATAGAGGCTTTTTTATGTCAAAAAATAATCAAATCTTTTCCCCATTTTTTATTCTTTTTTTTTTTTTTAAAGAACCAAAGAAAGTGAAAAATAATAATAAGTTGTTTTTTAATTTTCATTTATGATAAATTGGGAAAACCAAAAAAAAAATAAAGCCTTTGATTTCTGTGAGTTGTCGAATGTTGTGGGCCAAAAAGGTTCATATTTGATTGTCCTTTTCCAACTCATTATTTCTCTTGTAATGATTATATATGTCTCTTTTTTCTTTCTTTCTTTTACCTTTACCTTTGATCCAATGTTTTTCATAATTTCTATTACAAAAAAAAAAGAAGAACAATGAATATAAATGATAGACAAATAATTTTGATCATGTATAATATTTGTGTTAGTATATAATGTCAGAGACCAATTGTAGTAGTAGCCTAGAAATTTGAAACCAAAATAATATTTTTTTTTGGTATAGACTTGTATAAATACTTAAGTAGTTTTGTTTTTCTTCATTCCATCAATATCCATTAAAAAAAGAAAAAAAAATCCATCATGATCTTTAATCCATGATTAAAAATGACACAGTTCAAAGATAATATATTATATAGTTCTGAAATAATTATTATGTTTTTTTCTTCTTTTCTTTCTAATTGAACTATTATTTACCAACCGGTTCATTGTCATGCGTTGGTATAAAATTTGATTTTGATAAAGATTTGATCTTGGCTAAACAAAAATTTATTGATTTGTTGATATCTTTGAAATTATAATATATTTAAAACATAAAGAATCGTTTTATCTTATTTTTGTGAGAGTATTACAAAAATATTTTGCCATACAAAATAGATCATACTATAAAGAATTATAAATTATATACAAAGAATTGAAAGTGAAAGGTGAAATGAGTATTTTTTTTTTTTTTGTTGTTGTTCTTGTTTCAGAATGATGAATAAATAAGGATCCCCAGCATTAATGGCATTGATTGCGTGAGGTTTCATGGGCTACGGAGGCAGGCGCCAACAATGAGCTGCGTCACGCACACACGCACGTTCTCTATGTTAATTACTTCTTTTTTTAAAACGTAAGAAAAGAAAACAAAAGAGAGATATATTTACGATTTGACAAAAGAGTCCATTACTTACGATTTAACTAGGAAAGAGAGTGTATACGATAACCTTTAGTTAGGAGTAATGCACATGACACACATACAAATTCAATGACACAATAATTAGATAATGAACCAATGATGAACTATATATACACACTTACGTGGGAACTAACTGTAGTTGGAAGAATCTTCTTCTTACCCACACGTTCCGGGAATATATATACACATCCTTTGTATATAATACTATGATATTTATATTAAAAAAAATGAAGATTGTTCCCAAATTATGTATTAAAAGGAATACAAAATTCAATTATATCGTAAGGTAAGATGAAGGGCATATAGACGATAGACGATAGACTATAGAGAGAGTATAGATTATTTTTTAATAACGCAGAACGAAGAAACAAGAGAAAACGACGGTGTATAGATGAAGATGAAGATTTGCTTCCCATGCGAGAGACACATTATTCGGAGAGACCTTCCGTACGTACAATAATACTATCTCAGTATAGTTCTCAACACAGAATATATCATCAATATGTATGTATGTTCGTTCTTCCACTATCGAATTTTATATTTCTTTAAAAAATAAAAAATTGTATTACATGTTATATCATCAATATCTATGTTGTTCAGACAACACCAGAATATAGAGTTCAAAAGTAAATAAAAATATGAATGAATGGAGAGAACAGAGAAACAAAAAGAAACAAAAAGAAAAGCCAAGACAAATTTGTTCAGATAAAGCAAAAAAATATATATGGATAAAGTGAACATACAAATAATATACTATACAGTCTTTGATAACAAAAACTTTCAAAATGCTTTGATCAATATTTATTCTTTTATATATAACGATATATACTCATGTATTAGCTATATATATATAAGTATAGGGTGTTTTTGAAATTTCTTGATTTTGTTGTGACATTTTTCTTCTTTTATACATATATAGTCTTAATATTCCTACGAATATCGAGAAGATTGATTTGCAGAAATGTTGTTTTTTTTTTTCATATATATAAAAGAAAGAATGAGAAAAAAGGAAATAGGAAAAAGAGAAAGGGGAAGAAGAGAGAAAGCGAAAGAAGAGAGTGTCATTGAGACAATAACGAGAGTCGAGAGTGATGGCTTTGGCTTTGCCTCTGGTGTGTATGTGCTTTTTCTTTTCTTTTCTTTTCTTTTCTATCGTAATTGTCCGAATCTTTTCTTTCTTTCTTTTTTTCCTTTAAAAAATAAAAAATAAAAAAATTCCAAAGTTTCCTTTCTTCTATTTTTTTAATACTGAGGTTGTTACCGTGGTTAAAAAAAGCTGTAAATTTTCATAGTTTGACAGAGAGTTGCGCTATGACATGATTATTACCTTCCCACTGTATAACAATCAATAAACCGCAGCTGCACCACTGTCCTCATTTAAATAAATTCCACTGATTCATTTTACTAAGAATTTAAATATCACCTTATATATATATAAACACATCAACACACATTTGGTATCGTTGAATCAACGTTAGTGTGTATTGTGATTATTTGATTAAACTAAACTGAAGCATGTTTTGCTTTTCGACAATTTGTCCTAAAGCAGTGTGAATATTTTGATTTTTTTTTGCAAGTTAAATTTGCTTTTTTGACAAAAACAGCCAAACAAAATCCACTTTGCCACCGACCCAACTAGTTACGGGTTTTCTATTACATTTTTATTTTTTTTGTTGACATGAGACAAAAATCATAAGATCTTGAAAGGTCAATTAAGACATTTCGTTATCTCTCCATTTAGCTCTCTCTCTCTATCCACTTAATAATTTTCTTATTTTGTCTGAACGAAAAATGTAATTGCCAAATGTTTTAGTAAGCGTGTAAAGGTTTAATATGTTTTGTTGTCTTAAATAAAGACTACTTACACAAAAATAAGATCTTGGCTTATCTCATCAATAAAGCTGAACACAATTTCTAGATAACCGTACACTAAAAACACGCTAAAAAAAAACCATTTAGTACTTAAAAAAAAAAACTTAATATTACTACACTATTCTTTTCCTCTCAACCATTCTTGTTTTGTTTTTTGTTCTGCTTTTAAAATAATTCTTTTGTTTTGTTTTGTTTCTCTTCTATCTCCTTTCTCTTTCAATTACCGTTGGAACAAGACGAAGTTTCAGACACACAACACTTCCCCAATCTCTCTCTCTTAAGACACTGATGACGATATAGTTATGAGCAGAGGGAGAAATCACTACCATTTCCCGTCATGAATCCAGCTACTGACCCTGTCTCCGTCGCCGCAGCAGCAGCAGCTTTAGCCCCGCCTCCCCAACCTCCTCAGCCTCACCGCCTCTCTACCTCTTGCGACCGTCACCCCGAAGAGCGTTTCACCGGTTTCTGCCCTTCCTGTCTCTGTGAACGTCTCTCTGTCTTAGATCAGACCAACAATGGCGCTTCCTCTTCTTCTCGCAAACCTCCCACCATCTCCGCTGCCGCTCTCAAGGCTCTTTTCAAGCCTTCCGGAGGTAACAGCAGCGGAAACGGCCGCGTTAAACCCGGATTCTTCCCTGAGCTCCGTCGCACTAAATCTTTCTCGGCGTCTAAGAACAACGAAGGGTTCTCAGGCGTCTTTGAGCCACAACGTAGGTCTTGCGACGTCAGAACTCGTAGCTCTCTTTGGAACTTGTTTAGCCAAGATGAGCAACGAAACCTTCCCAACACTGTCTCCGGCGGTGAGATTGAAGTCGAGCCGAGAAAATCTAGCGTCGCGGAGCCTGTTTTAGAGGTGAACGATGAAGGAGAAGCTGAAAGTGACGACGAAGTCGAAGAGGAAGAGGAAGAGGAAGAGGAGGACTACGTTGAAGCTGGCGACTTTGAGATCCTTAATGATTCCGGCGAACTAAGCAGGGGAAAAAGCGACGAAATTGTTGAAGAGATACAAGAGATTGCGGAAACGGTGAAACCGGAAAAGACTATTAGCGAAGAGGAGTTGAAGCCGATTAAGGATTACATAGATCTTGATTCTCAAACCAAGAAGCCATCTGTGCGACGGAGTTTTTGGTCGGCGGCCTCTGTTTTTAGCAAGAAGCTTCAAAAATGGAGGCAGAATCAAAAGATGAAGAAACGCCGTAACGCCGGCGACCATCGCCCCGGATCAGCTAGATTACCGGTGGAGAAACCGATTGGGAGACAGCTCCGGGATACTCAATCAGAGATTGCTGATTACGGATTCGGCCGGAGATCCTGCGACACAGATCCTAGATTCTCGCTCGACGCCGGAAGATTCTCTCTTGACGCCGGGAGATTCTCTGTTGACATTGGTAGGATCTCGGTTGATGACCCTCGTTACTCGTTCGACGAGCCGAGAGCTTCTTGGGACGGGTCCCTGATCGGACGGACAGCGTTTCCTCCCGCTGCGAGAGCTCCTCCTCCGCCGTCGATGCTTTCTGTGGTGGAGGATGCGGCGCCGCCGGTGCACCGTCACGTAACCCGAGCAGATATGCAGTTCCCGGTGGAAGAACCACCACCGCCGGCACCGGTGGTTAATCAATCTAACGGTGTGTCTGACCCGGTTATTATCCCGGGTGGGTCAATCCAAACCCGAGACTACTACACTGACTCATCGTCACGGAGGCGGAAGAGTCTGGACAGGTCTAGCTCCATGAGGAAAACGGCTGCAGCGGTTGTGGCTGATATGGACGAGCCAAAGCTTTCAGTGTCTTCGGCTATATCAATAGATGCTTACTCAGGATCAATGAGAGATCATAACAACAATTATGCCGTGGAGACCACGGATAACGGGTTTTTCCGGGAACCGGCAATGATGGTCGGCGAGAGGAAAGTGAATAGTAACGATAATAATAACAAGAAGTCGAGGCGGTGGGGGAAATGGAGCATCTTAGGACTTATTTACAGGAAGAGTGTGAACAAGTACGAGGAAGAGGAGGAGGAAGAGGATAGGTATAGGAGACTAAACGGGGGAATGGTGGAGAGATCGTTATCGGAGTCATGGCCGGAGCTGAGGAATGGAGGAGGAGGGCCGAGGATGGTGAGGAGTAATAGCAATGTGAGCTGGAGAAGTAGCGGTGGTGGATCACAGAGGAAAGTACACGGATTGGATAGGAATAAGAGTTCAAGGTACTCCCCTAAGAATGGGGAAAACGGAATGTTGAAGTTTTACTTGCCAACTATGAAAGGTAGCCGGAGAATGACCGGTGCAGGAGGCGGGTGGGCCAATAGTAACGGGCATTCAATAGCGAGGAGTGTAATGAGGCTGTATTGATCTACAAATTCTTCATTGGGATGGTGGTTTAGGGGTTTTAGCTCTATCATGAAGTCTGAACCTTTTTTGTTTTTTTTTTGTATTTCGTTGGGTTGGGTTTAATTTCGGTGCAATTGGTTTACTTTTTTCTAATGTTAAGGGGGGAGGCATTTTCAAACGAATCACTTTGTTGATGTTAACCGGAATAAACCGCCTTTTAACCACCTATTATTGGTTTATATAGAGGAGCAATGTTTTTGGTATAATTAACCAACGAGAGCAGCGTCTAAAAAGCCCAAAACATGCCGGGGAAATTAAAAAAAGATCTAATCTAACGTTCACCGAAAACTTTCCCATGGTCGTGTTCCCCAAATCACTGTCACCGAAACACGTCCTCAAGCTCTTGAACTCGGAGAAGAACCCGCGCGCAGCTTTTGCTCTATTCGATTCAGCGACTCGTCACCCAGGCTATGCACACTCCGCCGTCGTCTACCACCATATACTCCGACGTCTCTCGGAGGCGCGGATGGTTAACCATGTAACTCGAATCGTCGAGCTCATTAGGTCACAGGGGTGCAAGTGCGACGAAGACGTCGCTTTATCGGTTATCAAAACCTACGGAAAGAACTCCATGCCCGATCGCGCTCTGGATGTTTTCCAACGAATGGTGGAGATCTTCGGGTGTGAGCCTGGGATTAGATCTTATAACACTCTGCTCAATGCCTTGGTAGAAGCGAAACGATGGGTTGAAGTGGAGTCCTTGTTCGCCTACTTGGAAACAGCGGGTGTGGCGCCAAATCTGCAGACGTATAATGTTTTGATTAAGATGTACTGTAAGAGGAAGCAGTTCGAGAAAGCTAGAGGGTTTCTTGATTGGATGTGGAAAGCGAGGTTTAAGCCGGATGTGTTCAGTTACAGCACTGTGATCAACGATCTTGCGAAAGCTGGAAAACTGGATGATGCACTGGACCTGTTCGATGAAATGTCTGAAAGAGGAGTAGCACCTGACGTTACTTGTTATAATATCTTAATTGATGGTTCTCTTAAGGAGAGGGATCACAGTATGGCTTTGAAGCTGTGGAACAGACTGTTGGAGGACTCTTCTGTTTATCCTAATGTTAAGACTCACAACATCATGATTAGTGGTTTGAGCAAATGCGGAAGAGTAGATGATTGTTTGAAGATATGGGAAAGAATGAAACAGAATGAGCGAGAAAAAGATTTATATACATACAGCAGTTTTATACATGGTCTGTGCGGTGCAGGGAATGTTGATAAGGCCGAAAGTGTGTTCAAAGAGTTGGTCGAAAGTAAGGCCTCTATTGATGTGGTTACATACAATACTATGCTTGGTGGGTTTTGCCATTGTGGGAAAATTAAGGAGAGTTTGGAGTTATGGAGAATCATGGAGCAGAAGAATTCAGTTAACATAGTGAGTTATAATATTTTGATAAAAGGGTTGCTGGAGTATCGGAAGATCGATGAAGCAACAATGATTTGGAGGCTTATGCCTGCCAAGGGCTACACACCTGACGACACAACTTATGGTATATTTATTCACGGGCTATGCGTGAATGGTTACGTAAATAAAGCCTTGGGGGTGATGCAAGAGGTGAAGAGCAAAGGTGGGCATCTGGATGTTTTTGCATATTCATCAATTGTAGACTGCTTATGCAAAGAGAAAAGACTAGAAGAAGCAGCAAATTTAGTAAAAGAGATAAGTAAGCAAGGCGTGGAGCTGAATTCTCATGTCTGTAATGCCTTAATAGGTGGTTTGATCCGAAACTCAAGACTTGGTGATGCTTCCCTTTTGCTGAGAGAGATGGGAAAGAACGGTTGTCGGCCGACTGTTGTATCTTACAATATTCTTATTGATGCTTTGTGTAAAGCAGGGAAATTCGGTGAAGCATCTACTGTTGTGAAAGAAATGCTTGCAAACGGGTGGAAACCAGATCTGATAACTTATAGTGTACTCTTGGACGGTCTTCGTCACGACAGGAAGATCGACTTAGCCCTTGAATTGTGGCACCAATTTCTTCAATCTGGTCTAGAACCTGATGTGAGGATGCATAACATACTAATTCATCACCTGTGTTCTATTGGGAAACTTGATGATGCAGTGATTGTCATGGCAAATATGGAGCATAGGAATTGCATTGCAAATCTCGTTACCTACAACACTTTGATGGAAGGATTCTTCAAAGTTAGAGACAGCAACAGAGCCACAATGATTTGGGGTTACATGTACAAGATGGGGTTGCAGCCTGATATTATATCATACAATATTATACTGAAAGGGTTGTGTATGTGCCACAGAGTGTCGTACGCAATTGAATTTTTTGATGATGCTCGAAACCATGGCTTTTTTCCAACAGTTGTCACCTGGAACATACTTGTTCGAGCTGTCGTGAATCGCTAATGTGATGAATTACAAAGGAAAGCTTAATCTGTTGTATAAATCTCTGGGCCAACTCAGCTAGTTTTCCGTGATAAGGTCTGACTCTGGTTTTCGGGTTTGGAGGTTGAATTCTGATTTATCCGTGCCTGGAAGTGAGATGAGGTAAATCACAGTAAGGCAAATAAGAATCAAGTGAGCTATATCACCTGATGAACTAGCACTATACATACATCAAAAACACTTGGGTGACACAATTGGTTTGAATGGTTCGAGTAAACATCATCGAGATCTGATATTTGTTGATGTAAAAGAAAAACTGTAGCTTGGTGTGCCAAACCAAAAGTTATAAGTTTCCCACTTTGGGTCTATGCCATCAAGCTATGTATATCTCTTTTCATTGGAGTCCAATTCTCTGTGTCTCTCGTTTATTTCTTTTTGATTCCTTTTCCTTTATCTGCCTTTTCTGATAACAGTGTCTGCTCGTAGACGAATTGAGTGAGGAGTGGTATAAGGATAGCTCCGAGAATTGCGACTTTTCTCCAATCTGGTGCAGAAACGAAGGACTCAGCAATTGCAAGAACCACGATCCCAATTAACCCGAGGTAAAGATTCCTTCTTGCTTGTGATCCTGCACTTTCTTTAGTAACCTCTTCTATCTTCTCAGTCTCCTCTTTAGCTTTCTCTTTATCCACCGGTTTTTTGTCGCCTAAGCTTTTAAAGAACAATCCTTCATTCCGGTCTACCTCGATCTTCTCCTCAAACTCAGCCAACTTATTATCGTTCTCCTCTATCTCTAATCTGTTCAGTCCCGCAGATTCCTCAAAAGCTTGCATCTTGCTCTCGATATTCTCGAGTATCTGCTCAATCACCCGGAAAGAAAATATTAATATCAGCTTATCTATTTTTCTGTTCTGTAAGATCATCGAGCAGATCACAATCTTTGGAAGCTTCTGAGTTCACTTGACTTATAATGTTAAGACGATTCTCATGAATCAAGTTGCATCAAAGAATCAAGGTAAGAACGACAAAATTTTCAATCTTTACGACATAATTCCATTATATCAGCCTAGATATCGAAGTTATCGTTATTAACTGATACATACCCTTGTGCTAGCTTCGTCAAGGTCTTTCATGGCGTCTTCTCCAACCTTGTCAAACTCTGCATTGGCTTCTTCAGCAAACTTGGTGAGATACTCTGATCGTTCGTCCAAGAAATCAGTTAAACGGACCTTAGAAGTCTGAATCATGGCGATCCTAGCTAAGAGTTCTTGTCTCCGAGTATCACCTTCGGGTTTAGGAGGGTCGAGATCAGAATCAGGATCCGAAGTTCCGTCTCCCGATTTGGAGAGACAGAGAAATTGGGGTCTGGAAATGGAATGTCTCGAGGCATTGAAAAGAAGATGGAAGTTTGGTGTTAAGCTTGTCTGAAATGCATGAAGTGTGTTCATCATCTTCTTCTATGTTTCTCAAGAAGAAGAGGAAGAAGAAGAGGTCCTCCGCTCGTTTCAGAGTAACCACCTCTCGTTTTTTTTTTTTTTTTTTTTTTTTTTTAATTTAGTTTTACGCATTATCCAAAACCATTTTTGTAGTTATATAAAGTATTTGCGCAAGAGACCCTACGTTCCAAGATTATTAGACCATCCTCAATGGTAGGATGTTAGGTGTATCTTAGATGAATTAGGGATTTAATTTAAATCAAAATGGTAATTAAAATCTAAGATATGGTATCTTATATAAGATACACAACAATGTTTAAGATACGGTGACGTGGCAGTTTTTGAGTGGATGTTGAAATAAATATTTGGGATAATGAAAAAATTAGAAATATTATGCGAGCTTGTATAATATTTTTACAATATCATTGTAGAAAACGAACGAGATACGTATACACAGTTTGATATCAATGATTTGTACTGACAGAATCTTATGGAAATACACGAATGGATTTCACATTTTACAAATATGCATTCAAATCTTATTGATATAATAGCCATTAGAACTCGAATTTGTGATCGAGCTATGCATGAATAATTGAAGAACGATTTGGTTGATCACATATGGACAAAATATTCCACAAATTACGTTTAAATTAATTGTGTTTTATGTTATTTATGCAATAAAATATATTCCATATATGTTTTAAAATTTAGTTTGCAATAATTATTATGTTTTTAATAATTAAATTGTTAAAAAAAGAATATTAATATTTTTTATTCTAAGATGCACAACTTAAGAACCTACCAATGATCCTGCATAAAAACAAAAAACAAAAATACAAATCTTAAATTTTACACTTTTCAGTTTATTACTAAATTAATCCTAAGATACACATGTAATATCCTACCATTGAGGATGCTCTTATAGATTGACTCTCCTACTTTTATCCGGGTCTCTTTAGAAAGATTCATAATGCAGAAAGAAGATTTATAAGGAAGATTTATATATACATTTATATACCCCATAAGGCCATAACAAATACGTTGTTTACAATTTCACATGTACACTCCGTTTTTTTTCTTTTTTTTAATTATTTATTTTATTAAAAGGACCATAAACCCAAAGGCCATGGGCTTTACAAATCGGAAAGTGGACAAAAGAGAAACAGAAAAATCAACCACAGCCGAAAAGGATCGAATCCGGATGATTATCGATGCCAGAGATCTTGAGCTACAAGACCTACAGCTTTGCTATAACTACGATAGATTAGAATCATCGACAGAAGTCAGCTTTCGTCTAGCATCGTCTGATTTGTTCTCCGGGATAACTAGTTGTTTTTTTTTTTTTAACATTGTATAGTATTTATTCCATTTTCGAAAATTTGACAGAAATTACGAGAAAAACAAGTAGCGGAGAAAAACTAAAATTTACCGAATAAACCGACAACGATAAAACAACAAAAAAAGAACAACGCAAACCCAAAACGGATACGGAAAAAAAAACACCGACTCCGAAACTAAATTCGGAAATTTGCGGTTGTTGTTGTTTATTTTGATTTTAGTTATTCGTTTTTTCTGTTTAACAAGGTCATGTTATCGGCTGGGGTTGGGTATTAGGCGATTCTCGCTTAAGACTTTCTCTTTCTCCGGTTTCCTCTTTTGAGTTTCTGGTTTTATGAAAACTATTCTGCAATTAGCAATTAAGATTGAAGTGCAAAGCAATTTCTGAAGCTTATTTAGATTGCCTGTAGCTGTTTTTTAACGCTTCGATTTGTTATGCCTAACAGATGTGGATTATTCAGACTTCTTCTCTAGTTTATCCGTTCTTTGCTGGATTTCAAAAGCGTGATTTTTGCTTTATATCCATGTTTTTCTGGTTTGCAGTAATCGATGAAAAACAAGATTCTACTGTCGATTTCGTTTCTATCATCGGAATCGTATGTTCACGGCGAAGGTTGTGATCGGAAAACTTTCGGCAGCTCAATCAACACGTGCCCTTGTTGTTGAGGCGTGTTGCTGGGAAAATTATCGTTATCACCTAAACCTATTATGTTTGAACGGCTTTTTCTTGGCCTTGTATCAATTGGTTTGTTAACAATATCAAAGAAAAAATAATAATGAACCCATTCAAAAAAGTAAGGCAATTTAATAATCAATAAAGTGGAAGAGGTCTTTGAGATTACAACACGCTGAAATTAAATATTTTTTTAATGGAACAATAATATTAGTAGATTACTAAGTACGCAATAAAAGATTTGATGGAACCAATTAGCTGCATAGATAACAGTTGTCACTCTCCAACCACCAAGAGGTCTGTGACAGCCAAAGGGTCACTCCGGTTTAAACTTCGTCCGTCCGTCATAGTTTACACCTGCCAAAAATTACATCCACAGAGAATTAATACTCTAATTTTACAACTTCTAAAAGGACAAGGACAGAACTATTTCAAAGTTCAGGCATACAAACCTTCATCTCCAAAAATTCCATGATCAAAGTTCAGGGTCATTTTCTCTTACTGCTTCGTCCCACGACCAAACGAATCATGACACAGCCAACAGGGGGTTTTGCGAACTACCACCGGACGAAGCAGTTAGAGAAAATAACCCTGACGCAAGGCATAAGCTTCACGTAACTCATCCTCGCTTGGATTGTAAATCGCTCCTCGGTCTACAAGATTATCATAGCTTCTACACATAGGAATTCTCACGGGGACAGGTGAAATTGCAGCCAACTGAGCAAGTTTATCTTCAAAGATGTCACTACCCATATCAGGATCATCCGTTTTGTATTCTTCCAAGTAGTGTGGTATCGCTTCCCCAAGCACGTATCTGTGGACACTTGGATGCTACAAAAATATAGAAGTGACAACTTATTATATATAAATATGAAGATGGAAAACTCATAAATATTCATGCTATAAAATAGCTTACAGATGTTCCAGGGCTGTTGGGGCTGAACGTGAGAGGACATGCCGATTCTAGCACAGTACCATTCTAGCACTCACGGAATACACAGAATCATGTAGTGTACCATCATCTTCCATGTGGTCTCTTGGCACGACATTTATGAGCTCTTGAATCGAAAGATGCTAATTCACATCAAGCTTGTTCTCTAGTTTGAAGGGATTCAAACTGATGAAAATGACTGATCGACCAACACACCTCAGCTTGTTCCCATTGGGACAAACAGGGCGGAAGAATATGAGGAGAAGTAGCTGTCCAAGTACTCATAGCTAATGTAAGAAGTTGGAAGTTAAACACAACCTACAAAGACAATATATCAAAACAAAACCAAGCAATGAAAATGCATAAAACGAAGAAGGCAATAGATTACAACAAAACCAAGCAATCGGGAAATTTCCAGAAACAAAATCATAAAATCCCATCTAAATCCTTCTAACCAAGATACAATCTTGCCAAATCAATAAGAAACTCAAGAACAAGAAATCCATGGGAGTGAAAGTAGACCTAGTACGGAGAGAAAAAAAAAGAAACAACCACCGCAAAACCCTAATTTTGGAGAAAGGAGTGACTGATCCTTATAACCAAGCTACAGTCCAGCCAAATCAATAACAATAGCAAACTCAAGAACTAGAAAGCTTACACTTGAGAGGAAGTCTGAGCGTGAAAGTAGAACTGGTTCTGGTACTGGAGAGTGAGGAAATAGAAACAACCAGAGCAAAACCTAATTTTGGAGAAACGGCTGATGCGTCGTCTAAGGCTTAACTCCAAGAGATAATTTGGGATCAAAAATTTTGTTGGCCCTGTAGAAATCGAGTCGGGCCTGCAAAAGTATTAAATTGGGCCATTCTTCCTAACTGGATCCCTGGACCGGGCATGACTAGATAAATGGACGAGGCCTGGCTGTCTCCAATGGGCCTTTAATTTGGGCAAGTTGTAGTGATTGTGATCTCTACGAGCCGACGAATAGTGGAGTAGTGAATCGAATAGTGGGCATGCTGATCTTCTTCCATCTATTGCTCACAAAGAACATGTGTTTGTCACAAAGTGCACTTGAGAAGACAAAGAGTCATAATACAACCGTGTATCATTCTCTGCTCTTCTTATTTCCTCTTTGTCTCTCATACTCTGTTCTCAAGAAGAAATCCAACAAAATGTACAAAAGATGGAACCAGGCTAGACAGTGAGAGCGATCATCGGTCATATAAATGTTGGTTATTCCAGACTCTGAGATCAAGCAAAATCCAAACAGTTACACGAACCCTCTTCCTTTGAGTTCACAAACCAGTCCTGAGAATGTATGAAGGGACGTATGAGAAAGGAAGCGTCCGTACCGCAAAAGTCCAGACTGAGAATGTCTGAATTTGATGAAGACGGGAAACTTTCTTTGCCCTTTGTGCTGGTATGGCCGAGGCGGAGTCACCATGGATTTTAGAAGTTGACTAGCCCGTGCCAAGAGAAGATAGGTGACGAGATTCCTGCTATAATTAATAATCTTCTTTTGGCAAAGATGAGCACGAATTAGACTAGCGGTCACGGTTGATATGTCAGTAAAGGTAATGGGATCATGAAGGTATGATCTTTATGAAAATGCTTCCTAATGGATGGAATCAAATACGGTTCAGAATTAAGGCAGATAACGGTGATATAAATCATTTCTACATCATACAATACTAAGGTAAACAACGAACAGGCCAAGGCTTATAAAGATTATTGCTTCTAGCATCCATCCAGAGAAAAACAAACAAAAGAACAACAGAAGTGGCCAAGTAATAAAAAAGATAGGAGGAGGTCGAGTTTTAAGTGTATCACAAGTTTAAAACAACAACAAAAGAGCTTAATTAGTCTCGACACAATTCTTCTGCTTCATCTCAATCTGCTTCATCTCAATCTGCTTCATCTCAATCTGCTTCATCTCCTTCTGCTTCATCTCCTTCTGCTTCATCTCCTCATTCCGCTGAATTGTCAGAGCGATATTGCGATAGAAGTTGGGTCGAGAAGAATCTAAAAATGAAAATAAACCACGAAATGAATTAATGAGAGAGGTTATACTTTGTCAACAGGAATTACAAAAAAAAAACAAAGAGATTAAAGGGTGATGTACTGGATGTTCGGAAATTTCTTTTGGAACCCCGTAGCGGCTGGATAGAAACAACTGTGATATTCCATCCTCCCACGTCACGTCCACTTAGTTCCCGGGCCTTTTCTGCTGCACCTTCTCCCCTAATAGAGATGCTACCTATCGTGGGGAGAATCATTACACCGGTGACCTCTCCACATGTAGAGAAGTGTTTACTCAATCCGATCTGGAGATCAATCTCAGGGAGCGAAGTGTCATATCCCGTTACTAGCATTCTAACACAATTATGTTTGCATGAGTTAGTTAATGATATAACCAACATAGTACAACAGCAACCACATATATATACAAACATAAAGACAGAAGATGGTATTACCTGCGTTGTGTACTCACGTGTTTGAGCTTGACCTCCACAGAAGGCCTTGGAGGATCAAGGTATTCTCCCTTAAACTCCGTAAACTCCTTAACCTCCTTAGCGAGTACACGCCATACTGGCCATCCTCCCACCTGCACGTCAGTTCCACTAAGTTGCAACGCCTTCTCTAGGGCACCTTCTCCGGTAATACGAATCAAGGCAAATCTATATATGAAACAACGGGAAAACAATTAGTTAGTTTTTCTAGTTAGCATTTAAATTTCATTTAGGGGAAAACTTGAGGAACAAAACAAACAAACCTCCCGAGGGTGAGCGTTTCAAGGTTTCTGGGAACATTAAAATGTATGATCTTTCCGCATGAAGAGAAATGTTTTGTCAAAACGAGCTGGAGATCATACGGGTACATCCTAGTGTCAAATCCCTCTAAGCAAATACTGCTAAAACGACTGCAATACAAATTTTAATGATATTAATTATCAAAAACAGGACAAAACAAAATACACCGCAAGAAAAAATAACAAAAATTGAAAAAATATATAGAATTGAGTATATTTACCGGCGTCCATCCTCTTGAAGGTCTGATGCATCACTACTACCGACAAACTCAAACCCCTAATCAGAAATATAGATAGATGTAATCAGGAATTCCAATATATACTCCAAATATTATTTTGTTCCTTCTCGTGAGAAAGAGTGCGTAAGAAGAAAACCATAATTAGGAGAAGAAGATTACTTTCATGCTGGATTCGGCCATGGTTAAGATTAGGCATGACCAAAAGCTAACCTTAACCGTATTTTTAACCGTAACCGGACCGTTTATCAACCGTAACCGGACCGTAACCGTATAAAACGGTTAAAAATTGTAACCGTTAACCGTAAAAGTAAATTAGTTACGGTTAAAAAATAATAATAACCGTAACCGTTAATTAACCGTAACCATAATTAACCGTAATTAATCGTCCTTTAACCGTACGGTTAAACGCTCGGTTAACCGCATATTTAAATTTTTAAAATAAATTATATTATAACTGTATACAATACCCAGATTTAACTAATTCACTATAAATAATTGAAATCAGATATATTTTTTACTTGTAAAATAAATAATATTTCATAAAATTTTATCTCCAATATTAATATTATAATAATCATCAAATAACCGTAACCGTATTTAACCGTAACCGTAATTAACCGTAACCGTATATAACCGTAACCGTCTTAACCGTATATATAATGATTAAGGTTATGGTTAAAAAATTATAACCGTTAACCGGTGGTTAATTAACCATAACCGCATTAACCGTAACCGTGGTCATGCCTAGTTAAGATGGGAAGAGCGGCTGCTAGGGTATTTATATTTTTCGTTAATTATTTATTCAGACTTGGGACATTAAAACGATTGGGCCTTGAATTTAGCGTAGGCCTGGAATAAGCCCATAAATTCCTAAGTCTTAAGAAGAAGGGGGAAGGGGAAGAGCGATCTGCGATCATAATAAAAAAGTAAAAACCCGCGCTACATCAAATCATCATATTCTCGAAAATGAAATTGAGATACAATAAACAAACTAATCAACCAACAACAAATATGTATTACTATTTCGAAGATAACATATATATATATGTCAACTTGATGAAATCGCCTCACTGAAACCGACTTGTTTGAACATATATAATGGAATCATTATGTCATTTGTCTTCTTCTTGATTTGATCAAATAAAGAGTTCAGCAATTCGACATACAAATGAAATTAACACAAGATGCGGCGATGGTTACGGGAGAAATGTGACAAGGGAACGCATTCGTCAATATTATAGTTTGTTAGAAATAGCTTAATACATACTTGTATACAATAAAAAAAACTCACATTTATATAAAAAATTAAATGTATGTTTTTGTTTATCATGCGCACGTGTTCTTGGCCAATCAGACAGAAATTGAAAAGTTAAAATACAAAACGTGTTTGTTAATTAATTATGTGTGTTTGTTAATTAATCTCAAAAGATTTAGGAGATTGCGCAGCAGGAAGCTTTTTGAATATTCTTTACTCGACGTCTCTTTTCGTTTGGATGCTTTTTGGGGTGTCACATGGTTAAGTGGAGTGGAGTGGAGACATATGTTCTAGTTCGACGAGGGAGGTTAGTTTTCTGTTGGGCTGCAGTCTCAAGTCTGAACAATGTATTTTCGACTTCTCTTGACGCCGTCCTCGCCCATTTTCGGTTTTCTCTCCTTAGTACGTCGTTTGAGTTACTCCAGGGATTTGGGTCCTCGAATCTCTGGACATGTTTTTCCCAGCCATGATCACATACATCAACGTCTCCTCGAAATTTGCCTGGAGCAATGCAAATTATTCAAGAGTCGCAAAGTGTTCGACGAAATGCCTCAAAGACTTGCACTGGCCTTGAGAACTGGGAAAGCCGTCCATTCCAAAAGCTTGATTCTTGGATTCGGTTCTCAAGGCAGTTTAGGCAACGCCATCGTGGATTTATATGCCAAGTGTGCACACGTTTCTTATGCTGAGAAGCTCTTCGACTACCTTGAAAAGGATGTAACGGCGTGTAACTCTATGCTATCCATGTATTCCAGCATCGGGCAACCAAGACAGGTCTTGCGCAGTTTTGTCTCATTGTTTGAGAATCTTATTCTTCCAAATAAATTCACTTTTTCGATTGTTTTATCAACCTGTGCCAGAGAGCCTAATGTCGAGTTCGGCAGACTAATTCATTGCAGTATGATGAAGATGGGGCTTGAACGCAACTCATATTGTGGAGGGGCTCTAGTTGACATGTATGCAAAGTGTGACCGTATTGGTGATGCTCGACGAGTTTTTGATCGGATACTGGATCCTAATCCTGTTTGCTGGACATGTTTGTTCTCTGGCTATGTGAAGGCTGGTTTGCCAGAGGAAGCCGTCATAGTCTTTGAAAGGATGCGGGATGAAGGCCATCCGCCTGACCATTTAGCTTGTGTGACTGTTATAAATACGTACATCAGTTTGGGGAAGCTCAAAGATGCACGTCTATTGTTTGGGGAGATGCCCAGCCCAGATGTGGTCGCGTGGAATGTAATGATTTCAGGGCACGGGAAAAGAGGACGTGAGACTCTGGCTATTGAATACTTCCTCAATATGCGGAAATCTGGTGTTAAATCCACCCGTTCTACCTTAGGAAGCGTTTTGAGTGCCATTGGAATTGTAGCAAATCTTGATTTAGGTTTGGTAGTTCATGCAGAGGCTATTAAACAAGGCCTTGCCTCTAATATATATGTTGGCAGTTCTTTGGTTAGCATGTACTCCAAATGTGAGGAAATGGAGGCTGCTGCAAAAGTATTTGAAGCTTTGGAGGAAAGAAATGACGTCTTATGGAACGCCATGATAAGGGGTTATGCACATAACGGCGAAGCCCACAAGGTTATGGAATTGTTTATGGATATGAAATCTTCTGGTTATAGCATTGATGATTTTACCTTTACAAGCCTTTTAAGCACCTGTGCTGCATCGCATGATCTAGTAATGGGAAGCCAGTTTCACTCAATCATAATCAAGAAGAAGTTATCTAACAACTTATTCGTAGGAAACGCATTAGTGGATATGTATGCAAAATGCGGAGCGCTTGAAGATGCAAGGCATTTTTTTGAGCACATGTGTGATCGTGATAATGTATCCTGGAACACAATAATTGGAAGTTATGTCCAAGATGAAAACGAAAGTGAAGTCTTTGACTTGTTCAAGAGGATGAATTTGTGTGGTATAGTGTCTGATGGAGCATGTTTGGCTAGCACACTTAAGGCATGTACAAATGTTCATGGTCTTAACCAAGGAAAACAGGTTCACTGCCTCTCTGTCAAATGTGGCTTAGACAGAGATCTTCATACTGGTAGCTCGCTCATTGACATGTATTCCAAGTGTGGAATCATTGAAGATGCACGTAAAGTTTTCTCTTCTATGCCTGAGTGGAGCGTTGTGTCAATGAATGCTCTAATTGCAGGTTATTCTCAAAACAACTTAGAAGAATCTGTACTTCTCTTTCAACAAATGCTGACCAGAGGGGTTAACCCATCTGAAATCACTTTTGCTACCATTGTTGAAGCTTGTCATAGACCAGAAAGTTTAACTCTAGGAACGCAATTCCATGGTCAGATAATAAAGAGCGGGTTTTCATCTGACGGTGAATATCTAGGGATTTCACTTTTGGGCTTGTACATGAATTCACGTAGAATGGCAGAGGCTTGTGCTTTATTCTCGGAGTTATCAAGCCCTAAGAGTATTGTTCTTTGGACGGGAATGATGTCAGGCCATAGTCAGAATGGATTCTATGAGGAGGCTTTGAAGTTCTACAAAGAAATGCGCCGTGATGGTGCTCTACCTGACCAGGCGACATTTGTCACTGTTCTTCGAGTGTGTTCTGTCCTTTCTCTTTTAAGAGAAGGTAGAGCTATCCATTCTCTTATCGTTCACTTGGCCCACGACTTGGACGAGTTAACCTCTAATACCCTAATAGACATGTACGCTAAATGCGGAGACATGAAAAGTTCGTCACAAGTTTTCTATGAAATGAGGCGTAGAAGCAACGTCGTCTCATGGAACTCCTTGATCAATGGATATGCGAAAAATGGTTACGCTGAAGATGCCCTGAAAGTCTTTGATTCCATGAGACAATCTCATATCATGCCAGATGAAATCACTTTCCTAGGTGTTCTTACAGCTTGTAGTCATGCAGGGAAAGTAAAAGATGGACAGAAGATTTTTGAGATGATGATTGGTCAATATGGTATTGAAGCACGTGTAGATCACGTAGCTTGTATGGTTGATCTTCTTGGGAGATGGGGATATCTTCAAGAAGCTGATGACTTCATAGAAGCACAAAACCTGAAACCAGATGCAAGACTATGGTCATCTCTTCTTGGTGCATGTAGGATTCATGGAGATGACATTAGAGGAGAAATTGCTGCTGAGAAGCTCATTGCATTGGAACCAGAAAACTCGTCTGCTTATGTTCTTCTTTCGAATATATATGCCTCACAGGGACGTTGGGAAGAGGCCAATACTCTGAGGAAAGCCATGCGAGACAGAGGAGTCAAGAAGGTACCTGGATGTAGCTGGATTGATGTGGGACAGAAAACACATATTTTTGCTGCAGGAGATAAATCTCATTCTGATATAGGAAAAATCGAGATGTTCCTTGAAGATTTTTATGATTTGGTGAAAGATGATGTCATTGTCAATCCTGATATGGTGGAACGAGCTTCTCTTGATTGTGTGTAACAACAGGAAACAATAATGGTCGGGAGCTTCTCGACTGTAGTTGAATTCATGCAGAGCTGAAGATCTCCACATCAGTTCACAAAATCAGATACATATGTAGGAACTCAAATTGCATACACAGACGACCATGTTTATTTTGCATTTTGCTGATGTGGACCAAGTTTCCATCGAGCCAAGAAAAAAAAAGGGTTTATTCTCTGTGTTCCTCGTGTGCTATCAGGTAACTGGGTTTGTGTGCTGCCTAAGCTCAAGGTTTTACAGGAAACATAACTAAGAATTTATCATTTTTCTTTCCCGCAGGTAAGGCTTGAGATGACAATCCAAGTGAAGGAGGAGAAGGGTCCATGGTGAGATCCCAATGGTGAATCACAGTACACATACATCGCGAGCTCAAAAGGTGATTTAATCTTTGCATGTTTGAACATACGCTGTATCTGCATCGCTACAGTGTTGTTTTTTATGGCAGGATCGTGGACAGACATGGTGTGTTCTTAGAAATCTAGTATCTGCTTTCCTCTTGTTTGTGTCCCATCTTGAGGTTAGATTCACTCTACATCATTCTCTTTTTTCTAGCGGAGACATATAAGCGACATAGAAGCAACTGACAACTGATGACACATGTGAATGCTCTGCTGTTTTCTAGACATTTGATCTGTGTTCACGAGAATTTTTTTTTGTACTCGATTCACATTCCTCTGTTGCAATAAAACATTTAACATCAAAGTGAGAAGAAGACAAAGTTGGTCCTAATTCTTCATTCCAATCCAGAAACAGAGAAGATGATATATGACAACTCATCATCATCCAAAATCCAAATGGATCAAGAACAACATCAACTAACTAAGCTAATATTGCAGCATGTTAATAAGCTTACATCTGTCATAGTTCAGATTTTGCATGGGAAAAGTCATAGAAGAAGGATACTACAGTTTATAGATCCTACATTTACACCAAAACACAAGACATCTTTTCAAAACCAAACTAGTCACTACTTCTTGCCTTGTTCAATAGGACTTTCCTCTGGAACCACGGCCATTGACCGCCTAACACGGCATATAGTCCAGAGATACAAAGCCAACATTACCCCTAAGGATCCACAAGCTGCACCCAAAACCAAAGCACCAAGCACTTTCCATATACACTCACTTCTCCCTCGACCCTCTTTCTCCTCCGTGGAAACTTCATTCGGTTCAAGTGGCTCTGAATGCATCCACATTGGAGGAGGATGCCTTGTTTCAAAGCTCCATGAATGGAGAAAATGTGCCTTGGAAGAGTTTCCATTGGCAGAGCTTAAACCCACAGTGACTTGACCATCTTCCCATAACTTGGCCAAGTCTAGCGAGAAAGAGAAGAATGGATCAAAGAGCTTTATGGAACCAGATTTTCTGAACCGAACCATCATTCTCTTAGAATTTGCCTCGTAATCAATCATACAGCTCAAAGTCCCTCCATTGTTCATCATCAAGTCACCAACAAAGGAAAGGTTTCTGATTTCGGCAGATTCAGGTCCACCAATTAAGATTCTTGCACAGTTTCCTATCTTGGAGATATCAAACTCAACAGCAACAACTGTCTCGTTCTTTGCATTTTGTAATAGAAACTCTAAAGCAGAGAAATTGTTATCTTTTTTACCGAACAGACTAAGATCCAAACTACTTGGAACCATTACAAAAGACAAGATATCATCATCACCAATCTCATCGGACATGGAAGAAAACGAGAAGTGAGTCGAGAAAGAAAGCGAGTTCCTCTCTTTACCTTGGAAAAGGCTGACGGGTTTCCTGTAAACGACTCGTCCCACGCGTCCACTCACTGAGTCAGTCAGCTGAATCAAAGAAGTGTCAGTGACCAGCTTCGAATCCCCGAACAGTGCAACACTCTTGTCAAAAGTCGGAGACTTGACAAACCCATCGAACGAAAACGTGGAACTCTCATCTGCAGCCATGGTTCCATGTATCTCAAAGCATGAAAGGAACAAAAGAGATAAGGTTATGAACAGCCCCATAGCTTCTGAGGGAATAGAACTAAATGAGAAACTTGAACTCTCTGATTAAAAATGGATACAGAGAGACAAGCTCGTATGTCACTATCTCTCTCTCTCTCTTCTCCTTGTAAATGGAATTTTCTAGGATTCGAGAATGAATTCCACTATCGCTCAAGAAGAAATAGAAATAGTAATTATTTAAGTGGTGTGTTCTTGTTTTATGTGGAGAGTGAAGACGTTACAGCTAATTTGACCCAAAAGTAAATATCATCTTCTGGAGAAAGCAGATATGTTGATTCGCTCTCTCACTTTCCCTCTCTCTCTCTGTCTTAGACTATACTATACTTAGTGGGTTGCTGACTAAGGAAGGTTTATATGCGTTTTGATGTATATACGCTTTGATAGACACATTAATACGCTCTCTGAATGACATATATGAAGATGATACAAAGTACAACACCGTATTAACCTGAAACTTAGCCTAAACTTTAACGGAAAACAAAGTCGGAAATATCTAATCTTCCGAAGCCAAATGATCAAACTAACAAGGAACTAACCTATGTCTATTTTACTTGATTATAAATAATTTTCAAAAAGCCAACAAGAATGTATAATAAGTTACAACTAATTTTGTGAGCTGTCAGATGTGTATTATACACACATGTCTAGTAGCAAGCTCTTACAGATAAGGAAATATTGTATAAGATATAAGATAAATAATAGTCTATCTATATAACCTTATTACAACTAGTATAAAGTAGAAAATTGAGTTACAAGTTTCAACTTTTAGTAAGGTTGTTAAACTGAAGAAGCCTCTAATATTACATTTTCACACCAATTATTAATGTGTTTTTTGTAAGTCATAATTAAACACAACACCACCCCTATAAATAGTCTTCAAAATATCCCATTTTCTTCTCTTTTAGTGTTTTTTTTTTGGGTCTCCGACACATCTCTCTCTCTCTCTCTCTTCTTCACCGTGGTAGTTTCAGACCAAAATAAAATATGTCACGAAGAGCATGCAAAAGAGTAAGCTTTAATCCGAACCCAGAAGCCACAGTCGAACCCATATTCCCAAAACACGAGGGTTTAAGCTCGTCACATCACAGGCGGAGAAGGGTGGTTCTCGTCGGGATTCTCAGTTTCGGTCTAAGGAGCTCGCCGGCCGCGAGGAAACTGATCCAACGTATCGGAGCTAGAGTCGCCAAAACGCTGCGTTTTATTTCCTTCAGGAGGAATACTACCGATAAGAAATCGTCGTCGTTTTTATTGCCTGCGACTTCTTCTTCCTCTTCGTCTATTTATATGAAGAGGTCAAAGTCTGTAAACGAGACAGAGTCTCACAGAGCAGAAGCTATTGAAGATTGCATCGAGTTCTTGAACTCTTCTTTTTCTCTTTCGAGATCAAACTCCGTCTCAACGTGGTCTTCTTGATTTGACCCGAATTTGGATTTGAGTCGGGTCAAATAGCTACTCTATTTGTTCCTTTTTGTTGTTGTTATTGTAGTGAATTATAGAATTGATAATTGAGCATTGTATAGTGTGTTCTTGTGTCCGATTCATAATTCTTTTTTTACGGTCCTTGACAAGAAAATTATTCATGATCTTCTTTTCAACATTTATTACAAAACCATAGATCAAGGTTTAAATAAAATAAAATTACGCTAAATTAACTTCAATTTAATACTAACAGCCATTGTGTGAAACTAGTGACGTTTGATATTTTATATAATTTGTACATTTCCTAAATTTGTACCGACCAAAAAAGAGAGAAGCCAGGTCTAAAAATTCAAAAGGAGGGGTCGTCATCGATGGACCGTAGACAAGAAAGCTCATGGGAAATCCCCACTTGGCTCTTTCTTCTTTTTTTGACCCCCCATTCCATCATCATCATCATTCTAATATATTTCTTGTTCAAAAACAAACAAACGGAAAATTCCAATATATTTCTTAAAAGAAGGATGGATTCAGAACCAAAAAATAAAAATAAAAACAAAGAAACTCACAATTTAATTTCATCATAAGAAACTTAAAAGCGTTTCGGGAATTGTAGGTCCGAAACCTGACCTAACAAAACCATAACGTATCAATGGTATCTAAAGAATCCAATGAAAAAACTTACATTTAAAAATGTGCAAGACCTTGTGTGGTGGAATGCCACTAGCAGAAGCTGCAACAAAAGATTTTATCACATTGGCAAGAAAAGCAAGACATTAAAGAAAGATTCTTTGTCTTGTTCAAAAAGGTAAACATTTCATCAAAAGAAAAAAAGAAACGAAAGAAGAGTATTAGGTAGGTTGAGTAGGTCGAGAAAGAAAGACAAAGAGAGTAGTTGAATTTCTATGCAAATGGAAACTTGCTTTGAAAACTAAAAAAAAATAGATAATCATTAAGCTGACAGAATATAAACTACTTAAAAAGAAAAGAGTAATACATGGATAAGTCAAGAGATGCAATGTAGATGAAGGCGGATGGTAAGAATCTTTCACTTTGCCATCTTACCTCAAATTACATTGTTCTTGAACATTATTTCCTACACAACTAAATCCAAGCATGTAGTTTCTTGTAACTGGTCAACACTTACTGTATTTTTATATCTTTTGTCTCTAAAATGGATCCATTTGCAAACTCGTGACTGTAACTATATATACCCATTAGAACCACAAATTTACAAGACAAAAAGCTATGAATCCATTTACAATAGGGGAGGTCTCTGCTAGTGGGTTTCTACACCTAATAACGTTTGAATTTAGATGATGTTCTTCATGAGTGAACACTGGACAGTTTGAAAATCTGATACTTTCCCGTGAAACTTTCGCAGGGAAAAACAGGGTGTGATCACCGTTCTTCAGGGAACCATTACTCAGAGGGATATCAACCCTGAGAAACTAGAAGTTTCCCAGACCTCAACACCTTCCATAAATTCCCGAGAAACAAAGAGCCGATCACCTCCAGCTTCAATTTTCGAAATCATTCCTCTCTTGGAATCTTCTTCTTTGTCTACAAAGTTTCTTCTGCGAATTGGATCACCACTTGTCTTCTCATTCACACTTGACCATACCTCTAACGCACCACCCCTAGCGGCCCATACTTGCTTTCTATAACAATGTACAGCGCTGTAACCGCCTCCGTCGCCTAGCTTCCACGCACCTGGATTCTCATCTGACATATATACCCATGGATCTTCACCTAATTTACGGATGTCTACCATTCCGAGGTCTCCCGACTTAGAACATACCTTGAAGATGATCGAGTCTTCCACGTCAACGTCCATGTCAGCTAAGGCGTCCCCGAACCTGCTGCTCCGCCCCGAACCTGGCTCGCTTGTTTCCCAGACTATGTTCCTCGTCCTCGGGTCCCATATCCTGATATAGCCGGAGCATCCAAACGCTCCACGTTGAACGGCGGATCCTATCAAAAGACCGTTCGTTGGCAGCCACCGTAGTTTCTCTGGTACTGTGGTTTTAGCCGAGCTTCCAGATTGCTGGCCGATCACGTCGCCGACTTGGAGAGTGGATTTGTCGATCCGGAGAACGCTGTTCTCTCTGTGCATGCACTCAAAGGATGCGAATACACCACCGTCCGAATCAGCAACCGCGGCAACGCGTGCCTTATAGATCCTCGGATCCTCCGGATCAGTCCAGTGCGTAGATCCGACGTAGCGACCTCCGGAAAGGTCGTAGAAATGAAGTCCCGACGCGGATACAGATCCAATTGCAGCCGCTTCGCTCCACACACGGCAAATTGAGGTGATATCATTGAGATGCGTACGAACGGTTCCAGCGTGGGAAAGACTCCAATCGTAGACTGAGATCTGACCACCGTGAGCGATCCACAAAGAGGCATCTCCAGCAGTGGCGGTTATAGCAGACGGAACTCCGTCAGCAGCCGGTGTGATTGTGGATACTAGAGACGCATCGAAACCTAGTAGCGCCGGCGGTAACATCGCCGATCTGAGAAGTGATTCGACACCGTAATACTGAGCCTCGTCGAGTAGCTCTTGCTTGGAGAAAACGCCAGAGGAATTAGCTGGGAGTCGACCAGTACGGATGAGATTAAGGATGACGGCGAAAATCTCAGGGTCACGATCGATGAAAACCGGAATCGATCCATGGGAGGTTGGAGTCGAGAGAGCCGCGAGGAGAGAGTCGGGACAAGTTGATTGAATGGTCGTTGCGTTGGTTTCGAAGACCTCACCGCCGACGTTGAGCTTCACTCGCTCGCTGCCATCGGAAACCATCACAGTCCGGTTCGAAATTTAGATTTCAGCTTGAACCGTTTTTTGCCAATTGGGCTGTGGCTGGGAAGAAGAAACGTAGTTGTAACTGATGATGTGTTAACTTATATGGGCCTGGGCTAATCTCGATTGGATATTTACAAGCCCAAATACAAATGACAAAAAAAAAAAAAAAAAAAAAAAAATCAAGGGCTGGGTTTAGTTGAAAAAAGACAAAAAGTCCGAGGGTTTCATTGTTAATTACAATTTTACAAGCTATTCTACAATGTAAGTTAACTTACAGAAATGAAAAAAAATAAAATAAAGTCTTTACGATACAGAGACAACACTGTCACAGATTAGACAGTGATCTGAAACCAATTTATCCATGGCACTGCCTTGTTCAATTTCGAATTTGCTGCTAAACTTATTCCACAGATGCAACCCGTAGCTTCTCTTCTGCATCTCAAGAACCTTGACTTGGACTCTCTTCGAATCTTTCTCTGTTCTTGCAACTTTGAATAGTTTCTCAATCTCAATCCAGTTCACTGGATAAAACGCAGGAGGTGTCATGATGGAGAAGTTATAACCAGTGGTTCCTTCCACGGCTCGAGCCACTCGAGAAACAAGATACGGTCCGTTATGTCCCCAAACGTTTCCATTGAAAGTCAACGCGAATTCTTCAATGGTTTTGAGCAAGAAAGGGTGGTTCTTGTCGAAGACCAGAACCGCATTGTTCAGTCTCGTCCAGTTTCTCGAAACCGGTTCGAGGGTCTGTGCACCGATCACGTTCCTAAGAGTTTTAAAGCTCTTGAGAACAATCATGTCTGTGTCCAAATAAACACCTCCGAATTTGAACAGATACGCCAGTCTCATGAGATTTGACAGATTCTGAGGTAGAGGAACCTTTCCAGGATCTCTTTTACCGGTTTGAATCTCTTCAAGCCACGATTCTCCGGCTGTGCCTTTGAGAAGAAAAGGCAAATCCGGGGTGACCGCCATAACTCTGTAACCACGATCAAGAAACGGTTTCAAGATTCTGAACCCTTGAGGAGAATCCATTGTTGATGATAAAATGATCAAACAACCTCGAGGATGAGATTTAAAGACGCTTTCCACGGACAAAACCTCTCTCTTACCGAACGACTCCGCAGGTGAGATCCATGTCATCATGAAGTTGACCTCACAATCATCTCTCAAAAACTCTGTTGCTCTCTGTTGAAACTTCTCAGACAGGCCTTTGCCTCCAAAAACATCAATAACATGAAGATTGTTAACCTCTTTGACTGTGATTTGTTGCTTGGTAGAATAGTTACTGTTGGTGTCTTCACTTAGCTCCTTCTCTAAGCTTAGAGGTAAGTAAGGAACAACTGTCTTGATCTCTATCGTCACCAACTTGGCCGAGTAATCCCTCACCGATAGATTAGAGACGAGAACGATCGTGAAAATGACCAGAGCTATTACTGTGGAAGCAAACGCTGTGAACAGTGATGATCCGGAGCGGTTTAACCGCCGGTTATCAAACATGGCCGTGATTTTCTTAGTGACTTCGTGATCCATTTTTAAAAAATTTTTATTTTTGGGAAAGGAAGAAAAGAACAAGGTAGGAGAAGAAATCAGAAGTGAAGTCGATTAATCTGTGTTTTTTTTTTTCCTCTCCTTATAATAATGTTGTGAGTTTCGTCTTGTCTTGCTTGGGATTAAAGAAGCTGTCGTGGTTTGAAAGGTTCTTAATTAAGCAGCCAAAGAAGGCTGACTTGGACGTAGGTTTCAATATATGTAATTAGAATAGAATGGGACCATACACGCTTAAAATAAACGATCATGATTTATCCACATTTATATTTTTTCTAAAGGGCTCAATCTCTTGACGACTTTTCTTTTTTTCTCACTCTTTGACTATATCCATTAGGACTGTTCATATATATAGCTATAAGATTAAGACCATATCAAAAGAAAGATTTATAATTGCTTAGCTTTGTCCTTGTATCAAATTTCAAAGTTATATACAAACGAAGAGAAGATTGGTTAGTTTTGGTTTCTATTCACGTTTCTTTTCGGATCCAGCTTGGATTTAGTTTGTGATCAAAATAGATATTTAGATGAATTCGCCTATTAACTTGGATTTGGTTTTAGTTTTAAGAAAGGAAAAAAATAAAAAGATGAAACCCTATTTATTTCCATACTTAATGTTTGGTTCGTTTTTTGGATTGAAATATTTTGGTTGGTTTTGATATATCAATTAAGTGAGGACAGCTGAATTTATCCATTATTTTGAATCTTTTTATTATTACATGTTGATGATCTTTAGAATCTTCTCTTCATATTTGTTTATCATTTTTTGTTCTTGTTAGGACAAAGATAAGCAAATATTAATCTTTCTTTTGAAATGGTCTTAATCTTAGCTTTGATAATTGTTGGTAATTATTATTAGGCCGTCTGTGGAATTTTAAAATAAAATTATTTTTAAAAATACTTTCGATTGAATGATAAACGCCTTATGTTCTTCATAGTTGACTGATGAATAAAACAATAGTTACGTTGAATTAACTTTTTCGTTGCTATAACTAAGAAGGCACCTTAAAAGGTTTCAAAGGAACATCTAGATGTGTGAGGCACTTTCCTAGTTGATCAATTTGTTATATCCAGTTTTTATTTTGTTGGGTTCCTTAATTATTTCTTGTTCACTACATAGTAATTGAATTGGATATTAAGACACGAGAAAATGAAATGTTGGTTAAGTCCACTTACATATATATATATATATATATAATTATTTTCTTTTTCCTCCGCACAACTTGTCAAGTTATGGAAGCATCTTGACTTCTTCGACGATTGATAACATAGTTAGGTGCATACAAATCTTTTCCCAATATTATACTAATCTCATATTATTGCCGATGGCTAGTACGTTACAAGTATCAATCATTCAGTTAGAGAATGTTGCCAATCATAATTTAAAACTGCTGGCCTCTCGTCACATAAAAAAATGTCATACAACTACACTGCCATTGACCAGATGAGCTTCTTTGGTGATCCTGAATCGTGATTAGCTATTGAATAGTGTGTGTGTGTTCTTCCTTTTCTGTGTTTCTGTGTGATCATCCAACATTCGAAGTTAAAATTTATTGCAATCAAAGCAATAAAAATCTAAGCGATGATATCATCATTATTATTATACTGAGTTATTAACATTTTCTCTCATGACACTTGATTTACTATAGTCTATACATATACGTATAAATATGTTAATATATCAGAGACTAATCAATATCCTCAAGAATATAATTGTCCTCTATTAACAGAAAAACAAAAGTCATCTAGGGGCCATCTCTGTGATGCTCTGAAAGGAAATATTAGATGTCGACGTCGACCCTTGAGGATTGGCTGAGCTTTTTCCTTTGTAACCTTGCATTGACAAGCTTTCCTGTGAACTGCCGCCTATAAGACCGATGCCACGGTGGTTGCGTCCCTTGTTGACACCTCTGTAGACACCAGGCTCCGTTAAGGCGGCCTCGTTGAGGTTAAGCTCTTTCCTGCAAAGCATGTCCACCACCTGCTTCATGTTTGGTCTCTTCTGCGCCACGGCTTGAGTGCAGAAAAGAGCGACTTTGATGAACCGGGTCACTTCGTCTCCTGGGAACTTGGTTAGATTCGGATCCACACACTCTAGTAGCCTCCCTTCTTCTCTCAGCTTCCACACCTGCCAAAACACACAGAAAAATGGCTCTGTTAATTGTGATTTGTTTTCACATCTACATGTTATGTAATTGGATGCTCAAATGAAAACCACAACTAAATTTTCCAAAACTGAAAAACCTTTTGTTAGTCGTAAGCGCTCAAAGCTAAATGGAAATAAAAGAAAACGTTTGCATTAGGTGTTGTTTGTATTTACGTTTTGAAAATGTATTCACTTGTAAGAAACACTAACACAAAACATAGAGCCTTTGTCAAAAAAGAAACATAGAGCTAAATATTTTGTGTGTTTAGGTATGAGAGCATTTAGATTTACCCATTCAATCAGAACCATGTACTCCTCTCCAAAGGCGGCTCTGCTGCTACTATTACCACTTATGACCTCCAGCACAAGTATCCCGAAGCTGTAAACGTCCGCTTTTTTCGTCAGTTGACCAAGAAGTGCATATTCTGGGGCCAAGTATCCTCTGTAATCCCGGTTTCATCAGATGAAATTTATTGGTTGAGGGAAAGATAAAACTCGATATTGTTTATAGAACGATTCTTACACTGTTCCAGCGACTCGGGTACTGACATGAGTGACATTGTCTGGAAAGAGCTTAGCCAACCCGAAATCTCCAATCTTGGGAGAAAAGTCTCGGTCTAGTAAGATATTGCTCGCCTTGATGTCACGGTGAACAACCTGAGGTTCGACTTCCTCGTGAAGGAAAGCTAAACCTGAGGCCGTCCCAACGCAAATTGAAGCTCGTTTAGACCAATCAAGATGTACATATTTACTCCTTGAACCTAAGAAATTCACACTCGAACAAAATCAGAAAAAAAAAAACAGGACAGAATGGGACTTGGTAGACAAGAATGTGATAGTGGTATTACCAAGCAAAGTACTAGCAAGACTGTTGTTCTCAAGATACTCATAGACAAGAATCCGATGGTTCCCTTCAATGCAGCAGCCAAGGAGGTTGACAAGGTTAGGATGATGAATGTTGGATATCAAGTTAATCTCGGTCAAGAACTCGCGTGTCCCTTGTTTAGATTCTGCTGACAATGATTTCACAGCTACTTGTGTGCCATCTCTCAAAACTCCCTACAAGATTCAGAACCGTGTTCATCATACCACCAATATATCAAACATTTTCTTAAGATAATTGTGTAGAGAAGTCATCAATTTGTATCACCTTGAAGACAACTCCAAAGCCACCACCTCCGATTCTGTTGGTTGGATGAAAGTCACCTGTGGCTGATCTTAACGAATTATATGAAAACACCCTCACATTGTCGGTGCAAATCTCTGGTTATTCAAAAAAAAAAGAAAAGAAGAAAAACAGAGAAGCTTTGTGAGAGAGATCATCAAATTCAAATTCCATTGTTCTAACCAAACATAAATCAAAGAGGAAGTGTATTAACAAGAGCTTATCACAGTAATGATCACAGGTAAAATAACTTGTACAAGGAAGCCAAACCCAAAACTGACATTAGAGAAATTTTAAACCCTAAAATAAAAGTGAACATATGAATTGTTGTACAGTATATAGTGTATACCTTCAGCTTCTGTCTGTCCAAGACGGTCACTTCTTTTGCACATATCAAGAAGTCCGAAACAATTATAACGCATCACAAACAGAAAACAAAAAAAAAGATCCTCCAAAAACAGAGGAAAATTTCAAACCAGAAACTCAAATCAAAACCCAACCAATTATAAAAAAAAAAAAAAACTGAGAAATGGATGAAAAGGATGAATTTTTCCTAAAAAGAACCTCAAGTTTGACCTGTCTCCTCAGAAACTCGAATCTGGAAGGTAAAAATTATGAGATTGTAGAGAAGAAGAAGATTAGTTGAAAATTTGATAGGGTTGGAATTCAATCACTCGAGTGAATAAAAGAGAAATAGGGAGTTTGGTTTTTGTGTGGAGTGATAAAAATTTCAGACTTTTTTTTTTGTTCTCGTGAGGATGTCAATAAATTTGTTGAAGAGACAAAAGTAATACTATAAACCAAACCCAGAAACTCCTCCAATGAACAGTAAATACGCTAAAAAGAAAATAAAAAGGGTGTAATATCTAATGTTGTTGGTGTATTTAATTTGTTGGCTGCTGAGTGCTGATGCTTCAAAGTGACGACGACGAGACTATTTTTCTTATTATAAATAAAATGTTATTTTTCACGCGATGACGACGACATTTTTTTTTTTTTTTCATTGATTTGGGTTTCTTCTATAAGAATTTTTTTCCCCTCTCTATTTGTTCCCTCCTTAATTAAAGCAAGATTATAATTTTAACTGTATAGAGCAAAGCCAAACCAGTATTTGTGGCCTTGTACCGTTTAAATAAGAAAATGTTCATGTTCGTTCATACCTAATTATGAATTTTAAGAGCGAATACTGTATTAATAAAAAGTTTTGTTTTACCAGATTATATCACACGTTACATTAATTTGACCAAAGAAGAAAGAACTCGCCGTTCAGACACGACCCCCATGCATTTTATGAGTATATTTATGTTTTGGGAAAATTAAAATTTAAAAACAATGACAAAAACGTCATCAAATTACTATTTACTTGACGTCATCGTTACGTTGATATTAAATCATCCAAAGAGATATATTTCCAGATCCAAAAAATTATATTTTTTTTTGATATTCACATTACGTATTAAACATTTTTGTTATATTTTTTTTTATTTTTGATTTCGGTGTGAAATTGACTTTACAATTGGCAGCAAATGACATCATCGCTCGCCATATTTCTTTTATGTGCACCACTAATGCAAAATTGAAAAGGTCCACCTTGTTGACCACATTTCATACTATCTTACTAGAATCAGTGTCAGCGTTATCGCTTTTTTCAAAAAATAATAAATTCATCGATATCGGTGAAGTTGTGGCATGCATAACTACTTCTACTGGTCACGTAATCTTTGTTTTATCTCAACGTGAAGACAATTGATTCACCATATCCAAATCCTCACAGTGACTTGGTCATCATGTAAAGTGACTCTTAACATTAACCTAGCGAGACAAGCGATGGAGATGTTTCCTTAAGAATACTCACAACCATTTACAAAGAATCTTTGAATCGGTCAAATGTTTGAATGAACCATTTTGATACATGCTTCAAATGCATCCTGCTTGCATTACTATGTTTAAATACACCTTTTGGATAAATAGCTTTGAAAAAGGACAGGTTATTTGAAACACTCATCGTGTGTCCCATTTCTCCTATGCTCTGTTTTGTTACTGGATTCTCGCTTGGTTCTATAGCTTTAATCGTGAACATGGTTTTAAAAGCTTCAGGTTTAAATTCAGACACATCCTTTGGCAGTTTCTTTCTGAAAACATTTATGAAGGAAAAAGACATTTGATGCCTAAGTTCACAGATTTTAACGGATCACTTAGAAACACATAGTTTCCAAGTGTTGAAACAAAAACAAGAACACAGGATATATAATGTCATATGGGTCAAGATGTGAATTTGGGGAACTGGTTTCGCGGGGAAGCATAGCTTCTCTCGCTGAGAAGATCATCGTTTTCGGCTTCGTTCCCGTCTAAGCATAGAATGTTGATGTTGTCAACACTCGGTTCTGATGAGCTCACGGTGCTGCTTGTGGCTACCGGAGAGCTTGAGACACTAGCCGGCCGACTTCTCACACTGTACATTGATGATGCCGGAACTTTCGTCACAAGTGGCCGGAGATTTCCCGTCATGCCTCGTCTTATATCCTACACACGAAATACCAACAGTTACTTTATTAGTATCGGAAAGAACATTAGCAAGCACTTTTGTGGGTCAGGTCATTTAGCTTGGGCCAATGTTTTATCCATAGCAAGCTTGTGAGAAACTCTTTACTGAGGCTTGTATTCACTCCTGAGATTAGGCGGATGTCAAAGCAAACAAAATCGCAGTGCTACTCTAGAAACCAAAATATTCGACCAAATATTGTAAGACGCGATCATACCATATGTCTTAAGGCCATATCGATTGAGCTCTTGGAGAGGTTTCTCCCATATCCAAGGCTGTTAAAAGCAGAGCTAGATTTCCCGGTTCCTCGACCGCCGCTATCAGTTAGCCGCGGAGGACCTAGTTTCCTCATGTTCACCACTCTCTCAACCATTTTATTACCCATAGCCACTGGGCTCAAGCTATCGCAGCTACTTCCGACATTGTTTGCCTTTGCTCGTCCACGAACGCCCGTGACACTTCCATTGGTGTTGCCAATAGGAGCCCGACCTCTGGACGGTGAGCATGATTGCCTTCTTGCATGTCCGACGCTGCCACTGGTGGGACCACCTCCGCGTTCTATAGAACCAGATCTTGAACCTGGTGCTGAGGCTACTCCAGGTCTGCCTCTTGAAGCTGAGACCGGCCTGTCTGATAAAGTCGTCCTCAGATTGGGTGGGGCTTCTAAAGAGAAACCAGGCATCTCCGGCGGTTTCCATGGCCTGGAAGACTTCACAGCAGGAGAAGGAGAAGTCCCTCGGGACGTAGCCTTACTGGAAACTATGGATGGACCAGTGGGGGTTGAAGGCCTACGGGTTGGCGTGGCTGGCCTTGATACTGGTTTTTTAGAAGGTGCAGAAGATGGTCGAGTATTAGATCGGGTTGGAGTAGCTGATCTCGCTGAACTGGTAGACGTGCTAGTGGTTCGTGGAGCTGCCGTTGAGTTAGTAGCACGTGCAGCAGTTAAGGTGGCACGTGAGGTGGGTGTTGAGGATCTAGAGGTTGAAGCTCTGGTGGTCACTGGCCTTGTTGTAGAGGTGGTTGGAGTTGTAGACCTTCTCGTTGGTGTGGAAGGTCTACTCGCTGACCTTGAGCTACCTGAGGAGGATGGTCTTCTGAGTCCAGCTACCGAGGAAGAGCTCGTTTGGGACTTATTCTTGTTCACTGAGACGATCTCTTCACGGCAGTTCCCTAACTATGGAGCCCAACAAGAGTTTCAATGCTTATACTCAAAAAAGACAAACGTAAACTTGGACCAGAGACCTATTAAGGATACGTCAGTTCTGTCTAACAAGTTAGTTCGTACCCGAGATTTAAGAACAGTGGGGCGAGAAGTGGGAGCATCAAGCTGATTCATTACGCTTCTATGTGGCTCTTTCTCGAACTGTGGCGTGCCTGGCGGAGTTAGAAGCCTGAACAAGAGACAGGAACATCAGACCAATGATCCATGTAAGCAGGAGACATTTGATTACACTCTAGCACTAGTTGTTCAAAATAATTGCCCCTTTATGTAACAGAACCTTAGCTTTTGTGTTAACTTCAATATAAATTGGGCAAATTCAATCACCATAAGTATATATATATACTCCCAAATTGCGATTTTATTTTTCTAATTTTAGAATGCACAAAGAAACAATGAAAAAAAAATATCAATGTTTTATAAGGGAACACAAATGGAAACATTACCAATCGTAATCGGACTTCTCATTCTCCGAATAGAGGAAGTTCTCTGCGGCGGTTCTCCGGAGAGGATAACGTTGAGACGAAGCCATTTCCGAGACACCAGAGAGCGCCGCAGCCGCAGCAGCCTTCAACGTTCCATTGATACTAGCATTATCAGATCCTACAAGAGACAGAACAAAATTCAAACACCATTGCCAAAGCACACACAAATAAGTATGTATACATGTTTATATATACATAGACGGACCTGTTAAACAAGAATCAGCTCTGTGTTCTTTCTCACGACGACGCATCTCAAGAAACAGAGAGAGTTCTTCGTCTCTGTCGTGGGTCAACATATTTGGAAACCTGAGATTGAAGCTTTCTTGGTCTCGTGTCCGAACTTGCACAACAACCAAAAAAAAAATCTCCAAATAGAAAAAGAAAATGAAGAAAGAATCGGATCAATCAGATCTGGAACAGATCACACTACGGGGACCTTGAGAGAGCTCCACCAATGAGGATAATAGAAGGCACTAGAGAACAAAGGACAAGGACCCAAGCGGTTTTTTTTTTAAACATTGATTCAAAAGAGAAGTCCTTGAGTTGAAGAAGAAGAGGAAGAACAACAAGGGAGAGAGTGGGGAAGATGTTCTTCTTAACGAGATTTTTTTAATTTTAATTTGTTCCAACTTTTTAAAATTCCGACTTCAAACCAGACAACTCTTGGTCGTACCATACAATACATCTCTTGTTTTTTTCCTCTTAAATAATTGAATATGGTGGTTTTGAAAGTTTGAACAGAACACGAAGCATCGGGTTCAAAACGCAGAGGATCTAAGAAGAGCTCACGGGACACGTGTACAGTTTTTACCCATGAACATGGTATTTAATTACGAAAAAGCCACTTGCGTTCTTTTATTTCTCCTCGTAAAGGTTATGGTTGCTGAAATTTATGTGGTTAAAACAAAAATTGTTATATAACTTGTCCCGCTAAATTTGAAAAGTTAATTAACTGTATAACAGTAAAACTGTAAAAAGCATTGCAGAGAAAGTAACTTCTGGTAATTATTTAGGATTTCACTAGAAATTAGGAAAAATTGCTAACAAAGCTCCCTATCTTTGTTAGGGTGAGATATGCATATGGTAGACTTGGCGTGTTTAATTTGGAGAAATTATTTCATTCACTAATGTATGTGTCGTTAGACATATCAATGAATGGTTGGATTCTAATCGCACAAAACAATTTTTCAAAAAACGATTAGAAACTTGATATGCATTATAACACCAGGTTTTTTTTTTTTTATTTTTTTTTTTTATAAAAACTATATTGGTTTTCATATATGAAGATTTGGTTTCTTTTGTACGCTTACCCGAAAAAATGTCAGATTCTTTTTCCCAGCGAGTTTGCCGGTCACCGATAGTCTATAAGAAGGGATTGACCACTTGCCAAGTATTCCCCATGGGGCAGCAAAATATAAGAGAATCCATTTTCTTATTCTTCGTCGCTTCCAATCATAGGCTCGTCCTGGTCCACGTCGTATCCTCCCCCATCAGGTCCAAGCACCTTAAACCTGGCCACATTGATTACACCAAACCCACATTAATCTTGTGATGGTTTTTCTTTGCATTTAGTTTAGGTAACTGATAAGAAACTAAGAAGTTAAAATATTGAAAGATAAGAACCTTTCTATGATGAATTTTCCTTCCTTGTACTTCTGAGACTTCTCGTATGCAATTTCCTGAGGGAGAAAATGGTAGTTAGCAACAAAGGAATTACAACGAAACTTGTTTACAAGTATGAGTTTTGAGTCTTGTACATATTTCCAGCCGACAAGAGAGCCACAGCTAACACAGAAGATGTCAGCAACAGTGTGCCAACCAGTCATCATGGCGCGATGCTCCTTCTCTCCAACCGTCACATTGACACTAAGAATTCAAAAAGGGTTGCTAATAAACAAAGAAACCTTATCACAATTACTTGTATGATCAAATCCTTTCTATGTAGTACTTACACATTGTCGAAAAGATAAGCCCTTCCGTGCTTGCAGTGAAATGACTGGAAACAAAACAAGCACACACACACACAAATCATGTAGCTGTTTGATCAATTGAAGAACATTTATAGCACAGTGGAAAAACAAGTGTGGACTCAAAATCATGGTGTGTTTGATCAGTTCATTGGGAAACTACAAAAAAAACAAGAATTAAAGGGTCAACTTCCCAAGTTGTTTGATCAGCATGGAAATGTAGATTGTGTGTTTTCAATCAGTTGGTCTCAAGGGTCAATACAAGATGATCATTAGCAACTGAAAGGTAAAATTTCCATTTCCCATGTCGTTTATGATCAGTTTGAAACAGTGAGTTGTGCGTGTTCAATCAGATTTAGAACAAAACAGAACCTCTGAAAATATGTATATACAAACACCAGAGTGTATTAGACCAGGAAATTAACAAGCAAGCTAGAGCAAACAAAGAAAGTAAAAACTGTAGGGACATCATCAATTGTGGAAAAGAGGAAGGTACTAAATTAAATGGAAGAAAGATAACAAGAAAATAACCTTTGAGATAAGATCATTAGTAACTGCGAAATGTGTTTGACAATGCTTGCAGCTATAAACCAGTCCTTCGAGGTCGATCACAAATAATCTTCCCATTTCGAACAAATCCACCTACCTGAAAAAAGGCACCAACAGATCTCAAATTCCGTCACAGATCTTGACAACAATCAATTAGGTCGGTCGGATAGGAAGCAAAATAAAACAGCGACTAAAGATTCTGATCCAACAGGCTATTATAATTTAAAGGGCCGTCGATTCAACAGAAGAAAAAAAAAAAAAACACTGAAATCAAACCACGAACAACCCATAAATTTTCTCAGAACTGGCGAAGAACATCATTACCACAACCAAAAATCAATAGAAATTACCAGAAAACTGTAGTTTGCGTTTGACGAAATACAACATTGCAACTTTGGTATAAAATGAAAAAAAAAAGGAGAGCGTTAATCTCGAGAAAAAGCTTTTCGATCAAATGTCAAAAAAAGGTAACGAGATAGTAGTAGTGGTAACTAAGAAGAAACTTGCGTAGTTCGCAAGACGCCGAGTGGAGAAGGAGAACAACAAAAAAAAAAAGTAGGAGAGAGAAACGGAAAATAAAAAAGAAGATCTCCCAGAATATTTCCAGCCAAGAAAAAAAAATTCCAACAGAAGACGAGAAAATTCGTACGACATAAGAAAATGGAGAGAAAAAAGAAAAATCCCAGAAAGAAATGAGGAACACCCAAAATTGTTTGATCTTACCCCGAAGGAGAAACGCCAGAGCAAGGGAAGGTTTCGAATTTTTCCATGCATTTATACTTATATTACTAAATAGAATTAATTGCTGACAAACAGAGCCAGGGCATATTTCCACGGCCCATTAGCCTTATTCTTCTAGGAAATTTAATCACACTTACCACGTGGCAACAGTAATCTTATTTGCAGGATTGTTCCATTTTATTCCCACGGTTATCTACTGTATATGTATGTCTTTACAATTCACTGATCGTGTTCGAACCTGCGAGCAAACCGGTGCCACAATCAGGCACAAGGTAAGAGCTACAAACTTTGTCCCAATACAAGAATGTGTTGATTTTATCATCGATTTGAAAATGGAATACAAATGTAACTAAAAAGAAAAAATGTGAATTTGAGAGTTCCCCCACAGAGACTCTTAAGATCAAATGTAGACGGATTTTGGATTCTGACTAGAAAAATTTGTGAGCGAGGAGTCCTACATTGTATAAAACAAAAGGGGCAAATAATACGAGCTTTCAATCTTTCTGATAAACCATTCTTCGGTATAAAGCAGGTTCCTCAATAGAGAGAAGAAGGAAGTTTTCTTTTGGAAGAGGAAGAAACATACCTTCTCATTCTCCTTCTTTTTCTCAATTATCTTTATCGACCAATCTTGCTTACTCTTTGAGGAGGCCACACCACACGAGTGACCCGTCCTTGAACTAAACCCAAAGGAATCTGCCAAACAAGTTTATCCAGATCGGTCACAGGGGACAAGTCTTAAAGAGTATCATATCCATCATCTATGTACATTCAAAATCTATATTAATGTGTGTTGGGGGTCTGCAAGCAGAGGACTTACAGGGCCAAAGGTTCTTGAGTCTAAGCTGGTACTTTTGTTATCTCCTTCTACCCAACAGTGACCTTCTGGGACTCTTATCACATCCCGAGAACTACTTATCCATTCGCCAGGCATCCCTACTATCCTCTTTATGTATCTATCCCTAAAATTTGTCGGAGAGCTGACAGAGATATGCAGTTCCAATTGTCAGGAGTTTAATGATGCATTTAAAATATTAACTTAGAACAGATACAGCACAACGTCCGAAGAACTTAACAAAACAGATTTGAGACCTGAAAGAGCCAGAGAAACTGAACCTTTTGAAGCAAAAGACAAGACGAGAATCCAAAGAATTTATTTTCATGGCCAAATATTTAGACTACATTATATCAAAAGTACAGTTTCTTGGGGCCATAATCAGAGACTGAAAATGCACACAATTTATGGAGAAGACATCATTAACAGGAGACTAACATGTAATCAACTAATACTACTAAAATGCGCTTGTCAAAGGATGACTCCAAAGTGGCTTGGCATTAGAAGGAACATACCTGAACACAACAACATCACCACGAGCAAACTTGTAATCCTTAAGGCAAAATTTATCCACGAGTACATAATCATCTGCACCAACAATTAAACATCGAATAAGAGACATGAATGGACCAAAAAAAAATGCAAGAGTCTACATTGGAACAGTAAGGATGCTTACCTAAATAGGAATTTTTCAGGGGATTCATTGTCGGAGACATGGAATCTCCTCTCACCGGAACAACACTACAACATCTATCTGAAATGGTAAGCCCTATAATACCTCCAGTGAATGATTTCTTTGCTACTTCCCACAAAAGTTTCTGGATTCCCATGTCCAAGATGACCAACCTAATATGTGATTCTCAGCAACAGGTATAGAACCTTCTGCAAAAAAAAAAAAAAAAAAACACAAGGCTCCCGGGTTGCTAGATCTTTTAAGTGACGTTTTCTCTAATGCAAAATGAAAATCTATCAATTGCAACTTACAATAATCCTCAATCCAAACCAAACCCAATACAATTACATTAAACTGAAACACGTCAGTATTGCCAGCCAATTCATGAACCGATCTAATCTCAAACTATGCTGAACTTAAGTGAGCTAAAAGTACTCGATTCATGGAACTGAAAGGATTAAATTTGAGACCAGGAGCAAGAAATGAGACCTATATCACAGCTACCTGCAAATCAATTTTGCGAAAGAAGGACAGCAGAGCCAGAGCTCACGACACAGTGAAGAAGAATCAGGGTTTCTCTTTTTCTCAAAACACTCCCTTTGGTTTGTCTACAGGGTTTAACTGGAACCTTTACATCGTCCGGTTCAACCAAGAAGTTTGGGTCGCGGATTTTAAGTGGTTTCTTCCGGTTAAGTAGTATTAATTGTTGACCGTTGGATTCTCGGTCAAAGTCCCCAACCCAACTTGGATGAAACAGAGATACTCTCTACTCTGTGATTAGGCACTTCTTCCTTGCGTATCAGTTCACTGTGCCTGGTACTGATACTCGATGGTAGGTTTCTTCCTAGTACTTGAGAGACCTTGTTAATTTTTCTAGCCAACACTTGCTAGGCTTGGAAGATTTGATCACTGCACTTTTGAAAATACTTTGAGATCTGATTTTGTATAATACGTATATGCTGTACACTCGTCTGTATAAACTCTTTTGCTTCACTGGTTTGGTGTCTTATACTCTTCTTTATTTAAACTTCAAATTATATCAGCTGCCTGATGCCTTTTGCATTCTCTACCTGTTCCCTTCATTCGCTTTATTGCGGTTTTGGGAACGGGGGTTTTCATATTACAATAATAACGTAGAAGGCAGAACTCGATACAATATTAATTTAACACTAGTCCTATAAAACTATTACACGTCTCTTGTCAATACACAAGATTTTCTGTGCAGGTAGATCTTCAAAAGTAGCTTGCAACACTGCAAACGTGAAAAAAATAACCTTCTCTCCTCCAAAACGATGTACATCTCTGAAACTAAATGTCTGATGAAAAAAAATCATTTGATCTGAGGTTTCTGTCTTGTCTTTGTGAACTGAATGTCTCCATTAAGAACAGCTGCTACGAATTTCTCAACTTCCTCCATTGTCATATCGCCTTTGAATGTAGCAAACTTACCTCGTCGAGGCTTGTAAGCTATTATGAGTTTATCAAAAGTTTTGAACTCTGACTTGTCAAGTGAGCTCAAGAACGACAATTGTTTTGCTGCGTCTAGAAGCGAATAGGATACTGTGTCCTGAGAACCAGTGGTTGAAACTTGTCTTCGAGACAGCGATTTCTGGGATACCTGGACAAAGAATAGAGCCACAGGGTTATTAATCTTCAAGTCAAAGAACCATAAAAAAGCCAATGGCTTTATGAAAAACACAGCAGACAAGTAAATTGTTTTCACTTCTTGACTACCCCAGCATTGTGTTTTCACTATCATCCAGCTCTAAAGGCCTAATATATAGAATTTTTCTTACCTTGGAAAATATTGACTGCATCTTCTCTTTACCATGTGAAGATCTGAAGGCACCGATAATACAAACAGGAGTGTTCTCCCCACAAATGGAGTCAAAATTTGATCTCAAGAGAAGAGGTATCCTTGACTCGCTCTCTGCTTGGCTGGACTGACTTTTAGAAGAGACTTTCTTATTCTTTTTCTCAAATCCTTCTAGCAACTTACCAATTTCCTGGACAGCTGATTTCATATTTTTCACAGTGATGCCTGATTTCAGGACTTGCTTCTCCCCATTCGATAACCAGCCAACTATTGCTGGAAGCGCATCAACTCCCAACTTTCGTACCTTCGGATCAGAAGTATCATGGACCTACAAGATCATGAAAAGACTGTGCTTTAGCTAAAAAGACTCCATTATAGTGAGTTCTCAGGGTTTCAGACATCTACCCTTCCCTCAAGTAAGATCAGTCATAAGTTCTAGGACCAGCAGATTTGCAGTGACAACAACGGTAGGAATATAGATGTAAATGGAAGTTAGAGCAAAAATATAACAAACCTCTGTGTTGTAGAAGACAAAGCGTCCATTGTACAAGCCACTAAGAACACGCCATATGACAGGAGCGTCTTTTTTAGTTGACAGAAGCATAACTGTAGGAGTCCTTTGTGAGCTAACAGCAGAGACATCGAAGGTATGCAGGTCAATCCTTTTTGAGAATCTTGGCAGATGTTCTTGGCAAAAGCTCTTCACCTTCTTTGCAACAAGCTCTTCAGTATATTCTGCTAAGGTAGCTTTGCCGCTTGACGTGTAGGAATAAACAAACAACCTTGGAGCCCTACGAGGAACTATGCCAAGTTCTTTGCAAAGAGAGGATTCTGTTTCACAATTTATACGCCCAACCTGAAACGTAAAATTAATCAAGGTAAACAACCCAAAATCTAAACTTCTTCTTCTAAAACCCATAACAGAAAACATGAGATCAATCATGTTGACAATAACCAACCACATAAAAGCTCTACTTCTAAAACCAAAACCAAAATCAACACACTCGACAATTGATTTACCTTTATAGCTCCTTGAAATGACTCAGCAACTTCTTCTATGCTGGATTCATGGTACTGGGTTCCCCTTTGAGATGGAAGATACGACAGCACAAGCCAGGTCATCCCTTGGTCCATAATTTCCTTCTTATAGACCTGAGAATTTATTGTTCTGATAGTTGCTGTGGTACCGCTTTTTGTTTTGGATTCAGCCTTCGATGAGCTACCAAAGCCACCAAACGGATCCCTTCCTTTAGAACCACTGCCCGAAAACATGTTAAAGATATCATCCATCCCAAAACCAAAGGAGCTTTCACTAGGACCGCCAAACGAGAAAGAAAACGACTTGGAGCCTCCCCCACCACCCATATTTTGCCATCCACCTGGCCCTCCAAAACTGAAACCCCCACCGTTTCCACCACTTGAGGAGTATGATGAATACCCACCATTACCTCCGGCAAAACCAGAGTCAAATCCAGGCTGACCCTTCTCATCTCCATAAAGATCATAGTTTTTCCTCTTCTCTTCATCAGATAAGATCTCATAAGCTGTTACACATAAATGAGGGTCGGTTTAATCTTGTCAAAGCCAGATAAACAATCTTAAAACGCACAAATAAAGATTCATTCACACAAGGCCACAAACTAGCATTAGCAATAAAGCTACAACACACAACATCCATGGAATAATAAAGGAGATGCTAGGACTGAAATTAGACACCCACCATTATTAATCTCAGAAAACTTCTCCTGAGCACCCTTATTTTTATTTTTGTCTGGGTGATATATCAAAGATAGCCTACACCCAAAAAAAAATCACAAGTAAGGAAATCCATTTGTTCATCATTCATTCAATTTCTAAAATCAGAAGGGTACGTACTTGTGGAAAGCTTTCTGGATTTCACGCTGCTTTGCATCCCGAGATACTCCAAGAACCTGAGCATACAAACAATGTATAAACCTAATCAATCAAAGCTCTTTCCTTTTTTATAGACCCAAATATTTGGTATCCCTGATACAGAGCCTCATCAAAAAAGAATGATCATCGATTTTCACTAATACTCGAAACTAATCAGAGCGAGAACAAAAAAAAAAGGGAGAAGCCTTCAATTAAAAAGGAGCCGATCAAAACTCCAAAGCAATCACCAACACAATTCATGATATCAGTCAAATTTCGGAAAAATACTTCATGAAATTGGAGAAAAAAACGAACCTTGTAAGGATCAACGCTTTTTGCTTTCGCATTCAACAACAAAAGTGTTGACACAAGAACAACAGATATCGCCAATCTTGTTCTCACCATCCCTCAGTATAACCTCCGAAACTTCTTTTTTTTTTACAACAATTCTTCGTCTTCTTCTTCTAAGCGGTTTCTATTATCCACGGCGCTCAACGCTTCGGGAAAAGTCGAGAAGCCAACGATTCCATTAAATAGGTTCGCTGGGTTTAAAGAAGAGAAAGGATATTTCTCAAGTGACCTATCTAGTATTATTTAATTTTGAATGCTTCCCTTATTTACTATTGTTACAAAAGACACCATATTTCGTTGTCTAGATTATGAAATTGGTGGGGAAATCTACTCACTACAAAAACTATTAGGGGTTTTCTGTATTTTCCGAAAATAAATTCTGGTTGTTTCCCGTTCTCAACTTAAGGCGGGTATCATACGTGGCAAATTTGATGCATTCCCACGTATCTCGACCAATAAGATTTTAGCAAGCGAACCGATCTTTGTTTCGATTGTACTCACGCGCGTCATCAGCACCACGCGCGTTAATTATATTGGGCTGATTAATTTAAGGCCCCCAATCTTCTGTATTCAGCCCAAAACTATAGTCTCCGGTTGCGTGATCGGACGCCGATCAGAGCGACGGTAAATATTTTTTTTTTCTACGACTGTGAAAAAAAGAAGAAGAAAACATTTCACTGTTGACTGAAGAGCGTTAGAGAGAGAGGTTGAAAGACGGAGAAAGAAGGCGATCTTCTTCTTTTTTTTTTTTTTTCTTCTCTTCTCTGTCTTTTATTACTAGCTTCGCTTTTTTTCCTCCGCCGTGAGATTTTATTGTCGTCGTAACAGTCCCCTGGGGTTCATCCTCGACGCTTCATTGGTTAACTAGGTCAAGGATTCGTCGGATCTGATGGCGTTTTCGGCTTCCGATTTACCGGCTTTGTACACGCTACTATCAAATTCAATGAGCGGTGACGAGAATGTTCGGCGGCCGGCGGAGGCGGCTCTATCTCAGTCGGAGAGTAGACCTGGATTCTGTTCTTGCCTCATGGTACAGTTTCTAATCTATTCGTTTCTTTTGGTTCCTGCTAATGTCGCATGATTTGAATCGCTCATTTTCTCTCGTCTGGTTGTAGGAAGTAATTGCATCCAAGGATTTGGTTTCACATGTGGACGTTCGATTGATGGCCTCAGTATATTTCAAGAACAGTATCATCCGTCATTGGAAGAGCAGACGAAATGGGTGGTAAGTTCAGGTTGTTTTACTGATAATTCTGATTAGCTGCTTGGTTTACATTCTTAGATTTGTAATGCTGCAACCTCTGCCCTATTTGTTAGGCGTTGACACTTTCTCTGAATAATTTTTTTTTCAGGAGTATGAGCAACGAGGAAAAGAGTCATCTGCGGCAGAAACTGTTGTCTCACTTGAGAGAAGAGAACTACCAGGTGTTGTAACATTTGCTTGTTTGTTGATTACTAGTATTTTTTTTCCTTGACTGCACCACGTAAGACATATATTTTGTAAGCATCTCTATCTGACTTTATTTGCTTTATGGCAGATAGCGGAAATGTTGGCTGTTCTCATATCGAAGATAGCCCGGTTTGATTATCCTAGGGAATGGTCAGCATTTTTACTTCATAATTCATATGAACTGGCCAGTAGATTCCTTTATTTTCTGAGTTTTTGCATTGATCCCTTAGCAAAGTAAATGGGTTTTTATGATGTCAGGCCTGACCTCTTTTCGGTACTAGCTCAACAGCTTAACTCAGCCGATGTTCTTGCTTCTCACAGAATCTTTCTGATTCTTTTTCGAACATTAAAGGAATTGTCTACTAAACGTCTCACTGCAGATCAGAGAACCTTTGCACAGGTGTGTCTGCTACTAACATCATCCCCTTATCAATTTCCTTTCTCCTCTTAACTTAATTTATTGCTGGACCAAAGCTTGGTTTTTTGCTTTAGTAAAGGATAAGTTCCAGTTTAATTTGTTGGCAGATCTCGTCGCAATTCTTCGAATTTAGCTGGCACCTTTGGCAAACCGATGTCCAAACAATTCTACGTGGCTTTTCAACAATGGCTCAGAGCTATGGCTCAAATAATGCTGAGCAGCATCAGGATGAGCTTTTTCTGACTTCTGAGAGGTGGTTTTTATGTTTGAAAATAGTGCGCCAACTCATAGTTTCGGGATTTCAAAGCGATGCCAAATGTATTCAGGTAGATAGACTATTATTTTTCTTGACTGATTAATTCATTATCAAATTCACCTTCAGCTGTCCCCTTCTATGAGTAGATATTTTCACCGAGTATTTGTTTGTTCCCCTCCCCCCTCCCTCTCCCATTCATGTCGTAATAGTTAATCTGAAATAGTAACCTTAGTAGATTGATTATCTGTATATAAAAAATAGGTTTCTTGCTCCCAGGCATATTCTATATGCAGATACATAAATATACAGCTAACTCTTTTCTCTCAGGAGATACAACCAGTGAAAGAAGTCTCTCCTGCGCTATTGAAGGCGGTTCAATCCTTTCTTCCATACTGTGAGTTTTTTGTAGTGTTGGACACTTTTTTTTCATGCAGATGACAAAAGCACCTAGCTTCATCCTGTCACCACACATATATATACTTTTGTTAATTTGTGTGGAGCCTCCATGCAGATTCATCTTTTCAGAATCGAGATCCTAAATTCTGGGAGTTTGTAAAGAAGGCATGTGTCAAGTTGATGAAAGTGTTAGGTGCTATACAAAGTAGACATCCTTATTCGTTTGGAGATAAATGTTCTCTTCCAGTCGTAGTGAATTTCTGCTTAAACAAGATAACAGACCCTGAACAAGAATTGTTGCCGTTTGAAGAACTTTTTATTCAGTGTATGGTAATGGTGAAATCTGTCCTTGAATGTAAAGAATATAAGCCAAGTCTAACTGGTCGTGTGATGGATGAAAATGGAGTTACATTTGAGGAGAGGAAGAAGAATGCTTCAAGCACAGTTAGTGTCATTGTGTCTTCACTTTTACCCAATGAAAGGATAGTTCTTTTGTGCAACATTCTAGTCAGAAGGTAACACTAACCCATAATAAGACATGTGAATTCAAATTATTTGGTTTTCTCTTACTTATCAAACTGTGGCCCTGTTAATTTCATATTATTGCATGCCGTAATTACCAATGCATAATCCTAAAAAATTATGAGCTGGGGAGATCTTGTGGACACATAGTGATCTTGTTGCTGAACATCTATGTATCTCTATTCTCAGTCTCTTCGCCAAAATGTTGCTAAGCATGGTGGATTTAGTTTGAAAATATCGCATGCATTAAGTCATTCGTTTTAGTGTGAACTGTGATGCTGTCATTTAGGCATACCTCCATACAATCACCATTCTCTGGTCATTGCATGAATGATGAAATGGAAGAAAAGTTTACTGAAATTTAACCATCAACATTCCAACAGGTATTTTGTTCTAACAGCAAGTGACCTAGAGGAGTGGTACCAGAACCCTGAGTCCTTTCATCATGAGCAGGACATGATTCAGTGGACAGAGAAATTGAGGCCTTGTGCTGAAGCTCTATATATGGTTTTGTTTGAGAACTACAGCCAAGTAAGTAGCAGATTGAGCACTACATCCTATTCTAAAAAGAAGTCTGCTAATTGATATAGCGTTGTAATTGATGCTTACATTTTATGTCTCCATCATTGCGAGCAGCTGCTAGGACCTATTGTTGTGTCCATCCTTCAAGAAGCAATGAGTAATTGTCCCCCTTCGGTTACTGAAATAACTCCTGCACTACTTCTTAAAGATGCAGCATACGCTGCTACTGCATATGTCTACTATGAGCTCTCGAATTATCTTAATTTCAGAGATTGGTATGCTCTAGATCTTCTAATATTTGGAATTTTTTTCATCTCCTCTAAATGTTGATGTGTCTTGAACCTTCATTTTGCCAGCCAGCAGAATTTGATAGAAGTTTTTGAGTAGTCAAGTTATTAATGTGCCCATCTTAATGATCGGATGATTTGGTTGCAGGTTTAATGGTGCTCTATCCCTTGAGCTCTCAAATGACCATCCAAATAGGCGTATCATCCACCGAAAAGTTGCTATGATATTGGGACATTGGGTTTCAGAGGTACTGTAGTTTACTGCGTTTTACCATGTTTATGCAGCTAAGTTTGAGAAGGATTTGAAGGAAATTGGATCTTATGTTTTATTAAATTGCATGTTAAGTTTATAACATAATTTGCAAATGACATAATATCTTGTCCATAAGTTGATTTAATGAGGGGTAATCATCTAAAAGCAGAATTTTTATTGGTTATTTATAACAAATGGCTATTAGGATTAGTTACTCTGTTGGTTTATGTACTCTTCTCTACCCTAGTTTTCGTTAATTTTCTTTTTGGTTGAAAAATGGTTGACTAATGGTATATGGTTGATGATAACAACCTATCAGATTAAGGATGACACAAAAAGAGCAGTTTATTGTTCTTTGATCAAATTGTTGCAAGACAATGACCTGGCTGTCAAGGTAATTTTTATATGTCTTGCATTAAGAACGCTTTCTCTTCCTTTTTTTTTCTTTTTCTCCTTTTTAATGTATATTGGCTACCTCTGAGATATTCTGTTTACTTATGTAGCTGGCAGCTAGTAGGTCATTATGCTTACATGTCGAGGATGCAAATTTTTCGGAGCAAAGTTTTCTTGATCTTCTTCCAATATGTTGGGAATCGTGTTTTAAAATGGTTGAGGAAGTTCAAGAGTTTGATTCGAAGGTACTTGATGTAGCTGCCTCAAACTCATTATAGCACTCCATTCTTGCTATTATACTTCCTTCGATGACTCATAGAACTCTCTATCTTTACTTCTAACTACCCTTTCTTTTTCTCAGGTTCAAGTTCTGAACTTGATTTCTACTCTGATTGGCCATGTTAGCGAAGTCATTCCGTATGCACAAAAGTTGGTGCAATTCTTCCAGAAGGTATGTTCATTCTGGATTTGTTTATTCTTGCCTGGTGCGCAAATGTCTTACTATCTATATTCTTGACTTAAGAACAGGTTTGGGAGGAATCTTCTGGTGAAAGCCTTCTACAGATTCAGCTTCTTGTCGCACTGCGGAGTTTTGTGATTGCGCTTGGTTATCAGTCTCCCATCTGCTACAGTATACTGCTCCCAATACTTCAAAAGGGCATTGACATAAATAGCCCTGATGCACTCAACCTTCTGGAGGATAGCATGGCAGTAAGTTTCCACTTCTTTAATGTATACCTTTTACTGCTGATATAAATGCATTATATATAATTGACACTACTCTACATTTGCAGTTATGGGAAACCACACTTTGCTATGCTCCTATGATGGTGCCCCAGTTATTAGTATGCTTCCCCTATATGGTGGAGATCATTGAAAGAAGTTTTGATCATTTACAGGTTAATATTTAAAGTTTTCAAGTAGTTGTTTGATTCATTAATGACCTATATGCGTGTGTTCAGATTTACTGAAACATGTTATGTCAATAATACCTTGAGACATTCAAATGACCATATGCTCCCGAAAATTTTGACTAACATACTAACCAAATGGTAGGTTGCTGTCAGTATTATGGAATCTTATATCATTTTGGATGGAGGAGAATTTCTAAATATGCATGCTTCAAGTGTCGCAAAAATTCTTGATCTTATCGTCGGAAATGTAAATGATAAGGGGTTACTCTCGATTCTTCCAGTGATTGACATCTTAGTTCAGGTGAGTATAATTTATCATTTTCCCTGTTTGTGCCGACATGCAGCCAATTTTCATGGTCCTTATCTTTTATCATTGTGATAAGCAACCATTACCATATGCAGCTCTTTTGCACATATGTAACCCTGTTAACTAAAATTGTTTTTAGCGATTCGTTGATTCTAAGTACAATGTGTATATATTCTCCCGCAGACTTCTGTAACTAAATTTAATTGGTCGTATATATTTTGTAATGGTGTTGTGTTCCAGAGATACTTATACGGCTGTTAAGTTTGTAGCTACTAGCTACAACTGCATTTATTTTTGTATTGCATAGCCTCATCTCTTGGTTTACAGATAATTTGACCAATACTGAAATTTTTGGCAAGATTACTATAGAAAGTTTTTGTCATGTCATGACTGTCTATTTATGTGTTGCATGAAATTATGCCAAGTTTTAACTTCTTTATATGAACATGTGCTTTTGTATTGAGCAGTGTTTTCCTGTGGAAGTCCCCCCTCTCATCAGCAGCTGTTTGCAGGTGAATTTCAAGTCTTCTTTTGATGAAAAATCCATCCTTAATACTTCTGATGGGGTTGGTTTGCTCGTGTCCTTGCAGAAACTGGTGATTATTTGCTTGAGTGGAGGAGATGACCGTGATCCATCCAAGACTGCAGTTAAAGTGTCTTCAGCTGCTATCCTGGCAAGGATTCTGGTGATGAACACCACTTATCTGGCCCAGTTAACATCTGATTCATCTCTTTCAGTGTTACTCCAACAGGCAGGTGTCACAGTCGAAGACAATGTACTCCTTTGTCTCATTGACATTTGGCTCGACAAGGTCAGTGGGTAACATATCTTGAACAATAACTGGTTGTTTGAACAGCGTTCTGGAATTTTAACCTGTTTTACAATAGGCTTGCAGGAATCTTTTGTGTCTTTAAATGGTCTTGTTTTTCGAAGTCTAAGCTATTTCTCATTTTCAAACTGCTGTACATGTTGAAATGCGTGTTTCTTTTTCATGATCTGACACACGTCGGGCTTGCAACTACTCATACAGGTGGACCATGCGTCTCCCATGCAAAAAAAGACATTCGGCTTGGCTCTTTCCATAATACTTACACTTAGAATGCCTCAAGTTCTTGACAAGCTTGATCAAATACTAAGGTACATGTTGCACAGTTGTGTATTAACAGTTTGATTTATGTATCTTTGTGATATAATTGATCGTGTTTCTCGTAACAGTACATGCACCAGTGTAATCCTTAGTGAAAACAAAGATTTAGCAGAAGAAGAATCAAGGTCAGAGACTTTATTTAATTGCGTACATAAGTAGTAACTTAATTTTAATTTACTTTAGTAATTTTTGATGGAACTGTTCACAACATTAAATATTAAGAAATCATACAATTTATCATTCCAGCGGTGACATGAGTTCAAGCAGGTGTCAAGGAGAAGAAACCCCGCCAAGCAAAGAGTTACGGAAAAGTCAGGTAAAAATTTAAGAAAAACATGGTTTTCTTAACCAACCAGCTTGTACAAAACCACTGATTCTTACACTTTTTTGTGGGGGGGGATTGGATTTTGTTAAGATCAAACTTTCCGACCCCATCTACCAGATGTCACTAGAGAACTCAACGCGTGAGAATCTTCAGACATGTTCTACACTTCATGGAGATGCCTTTAATTCTGCCATTAGTAGGATGCACCCGTCTGCGCTTACACAAGTGAAGCAAGCTTTAAAGCTGCCATGATAAAATGTTTTTACCTCTTCATTGTTTGTTTCCTTGTCACTTAAAGAGAAGCAGTTTTCAAGTGAGTTTCTGATTCCTCATTATTCTCCCTTCTCAGCGTCTTTCATTATAAACCTTCCAATGGTGTCTGCTTCATTATATTCATCAGCATATACATTTAAAGACAAAACTACGAGTGTTGTAGGAATTTTTTTTGTAAGTATAGACATACGAAATACTATTTAGTTGCATATTTGGTGCTTGGTTGGCTATTCATGCAAATATAGAACATATGTTTGCACATCTAGTTAGATATCATCATCCCTGGGTGTTTTATGTTGAGAATGATGCATAGATTGAGTAATGTAGTCATATGGTGATGTATCTTCACCATTTGATCTTGACTCGCCACTTCATTTCTGTCCAGGTGAGTGTGCTTTTCAGATTTGATGGGTGGTGTGTTACATAGGTGCATGTTGCAAATTCCTCTGCAACCTTGGTGGTTTGAGGAACTATGTACATATCTTTGGTGAGGGGCGGCGTATCTTTTAGCTGCTCATTTGTATTTTGCCCTACAGGGACACAAGGAGGCGTCATTAGAAGACATCTTTTTGTATTCATTTGGTTGAGTTGTAATATGTCAAATCATTCTTCAATACAACCTTTTTGTCCCAATGTTACAGAAAAGAGAAACAAGAAGAAAAAAAAAAAAAAAAACGAAGTCGAGTCAAATTAGGGAGATCTTTACGATGTATTTCATGTCGGTCTTGTCACAAGAGCTTTATCAACATATATGATGGGAAAATGGTGAAAAGGTCTTGTTTTGTTAAATTCTTACTTTTTAACCCCGTTTCTTTTTTTCTTTTTTTTTTTTTTAGTCGGCAACCCCGTTTCTTTATCTTTTGTACTTATCTACTCGTGTTACTTCTTTCACCTTAATTTCGTAAAAAAACACTGAATATGGTAATTAGCAGTGACGCCAAAATATATATTGGAACATTTCCACTTCCATTCATGCACGGTAGAGGTTTTAAGGCCTTCGAGAGTTAGGAGTCAACATGAAGAAGCGAGATCAATTTGTTGGACAATGGGATCATAATGTCTCAATTGATCCTTTAATAATGCATACTGTCGTGTCCAAGCTCGGCCAAAACAAGAATTTGACGTTTTTTCCAAGGAAACCCAAGCTCCGTAGACAGGGAAATTCTTATTAACTGGTGACCTCCCAAAACTGGGAACACTGAAAAATTAATCACCTAAGTGTTCTTCGAACGCTCTTTACTTCCGGTACTGTCGGATCTCTTTCACAACGCCTTCGGTCAACGAGTCAACATCGTGATTCTTTCCATAGAATTTCACAAAATTCATTTCCGGGCTCATCAAGTACCTTCACCCACAACACGTTTATTCTATCAAAACTCCAACCACCAAAAAGAGAGATCGAACCCAAAAAATTATACTACATTGAGTACATTCCATGACTTTATGCAAATTCTGAAATTTGAGAATTAAGTACAATTTTTTTAATATTCAGATGTGTATATCAGTATGAACCACTGTAACTTTGCATGTTGGTTTTTGTGCCGATAACTATAATCTTCCTAACAAAAAGTCAAAAACTAAGTTAAGGGATAATAAGTATACTTACATAACGATAGAGTGATCAACGAGATAGTCTGAATCTTCCTCTTCTGTCTTCATGTAGTAAACTCGATAAGATCGGGCCACCGATTTGATTTCTTCGGGGCTCCCGGTTAACCCAATCAATTTCGGGTGAAATTCTACAAGAGATATCAGACTCCATGAGTTTTTCATTTCAAAGACTGGATGCATCTTTTGGAGTGAAAAATATCTACCTTTAACATATTCATGTACTTGCTGAGCTGTGTCTCTTTCAGGATCCACAGAGATAAACACTGGCACCACATCTACTCCCGACTTTTCCTCTGTAAATGTAATAGAACCTTAGAGAAAGAAAAAAAACTCCAAATGTGGAATCAATCACACAAATAAATAAAAAATGTCGGTAACTCACTTATTTTGTCAATGGCAGCAGCTAACTTAATAAGCTCATCAGGACAAATATCGGGACAATGAGTGAAGCCAAAGTATAAGATGGTCCATGTTCCCATTAAGTCTTTCTCCGTCACACGTTTCCCATCGTCTCTTATAAGGCTGAATGGTCCTCCAATGGCTGCTTTTCCGGCAGATGGTCCCTCCTTGACGGCTATAGATTTTGTATTTATATCTAAATCAACAAGAACCCGAGTCAATATACAAATAAAAATAGAGCCAGGGGATAACCAATAAGATTTTAGAAGATATTGGAATTCAACACAAACCAATTTGAAATCAGTAAACATTTGCTCGGTGATTGAAGTGATCAGCTCCTTTATCAAGTCAAGTTTATATCGAACGAAGTCAGTTGTTTAACAGAACTCAAACTGTTTCAGATATCGTTTGCTAAGGGCTAAGCCATGAATTCAATTAGGAGAGTTTCTGTTTCAGAACTCCATTAGCAAATGTAGTCCAGAATGAAAGATACGAGAGCTTGCTTAAAATCCTATCACCTCAGTTTGACTGTGTCTCACAATCCAAACTAAAAAATATTGGGAGCTATGTAGCAAAGTCACGTAACAGTAGTCTACAGCATCAAGTTCTGTTTACGTTTTACGTAGATATGTTCATAAACAAACTCACCATAAAATGAGTACCTTCGATATGACGTTTCTTTTCTCTATCATAATAGTAGACCAATCCAGCTCCAGTAGCAAACAGCAAGAAAAAGCTCATCCATGAAACTGGCTGCAATTATTATTTTTTCAAAAGAGTCCTAATCAAACATCAGACCAAGACGAGTTTTGATCTGTACTCAAAACTGTTATGCAATTTGATCGGAGAGACCATTTACCGCTCCACGAACGTCTCTTCCAGAACCACGGTCGTTTTTCTGATTTGAACCACCGTCGGAACTCTCTGAATCTTCAGATTTCTCATCCTTATCGGAAGATTTTGTATCAGACTTCGAGGTAGTATCAGAAGCAGAAGTACTAATCAAACATCTCTGATCCATCTTCAACAGTTCGATTCCACAGTTTAGTGGAAGAAACTGCAAGAGAAACATCGTAATTAAAGAGCTATACACCAAAGGTAATTAGAGTATGAGAATAAAATTCCGAACCGATCGAGGGAGAGAGAAAACCCCATGGCGAAGCGCGTCGGAGATGCACGCCGGAGACGGAGACGATGTCGATAGTAGATCGCCGGAGACGCGAATCCGACGACAGAGTTGAAGGGTACGAAGGCGGCTTGCAGTTCTACACAGAGCAGACGCCATTGAGGAACAAAGTGAGTCGCAGCTTTCCTGCGAGCTGAGGTTTTTAATCTGAGAGGAACAAAGAGGTTTTACATTCCTCCTACAGTAAACGACACCAGTTATAAAAACGTCAAGGTTTGCGCACGCATTTTATACAAACACCATACCGTTCAATTGAAAGCCCATTTGGGTCGATAAGCCTATCACAGTCACAATCATTACAACAGACAGCCCATTAAGCCCATTTGGGTCGATAAACATATTGCAGTCCTTTAGAGGAATTATGTATCTCTTTCAGTCTTTCAAATGAGAAGCGCTGTTCGAATTTCACAAGACGAGGCCAAGCCAGAGAGAGACATCGTCCTTTGTGGATTGAGAGAATTGTAACCGAATCAATTGTTTGGATTCTTTTCAGTGAGTTTGAGTTAACCGAACCGGATTATAAAAATTCAAAGACTAATGTAATGGGTATTCTTGTTTAATTTGCAAGGCACAGAAGTGCTGCTGAAGTGACAAGTGGCATTCGTAAGAGATTCGCCAATAGCTTCTTTTGCCCAATCAGCTTCTTGCTTCATCTAACTCTCTCTCTCTCTCTCTCTCTCTCTCTTTCTCTAAAGATTCTAAAAAGACAGGATAGAGAAGATAACGCTAGCTTGGTAATAGATAAGGCGGAGTTTACTTCTAACCGTCAGATGGATTTGTTTCTCCATCTAACGGAGGAGATACGTTCTCTGAGATCTCCAAGCTTCATCATCTCTCCCACACATATACGGGCCACTTAGAGACGCCATTTGATTATTAGTATCTTTTACAGAAAAAAAATTACAAACCGCAAACGCAGAGTAAACAAACGACGCCGGAGATGGCCGCCACTTCGACAGCCGCCGCTGCTTCTTCAATCATGGGTACACGGGTGGTTTCCGACATCCACTCTGGTTCAGGCAGATTCACTGCCCGGTTCGCATTCGGAACCAAGAAAGCCGCTCCCAAAAAGGCTAAGACGGTTATCTCAGACCGGCCTTTATGGTTCCCAGGTGCAAAATCCCCTGAGTATCTCGACGGTTCGCTGGTCGGAGACTACGGGTTCGACCCTTTCGGTTTAGGTAAACCGGCGGAGTACCTCCAGTTTGATCTGGACTCCCTGGACCAGAACCTCGCCAAGAACTTATACGGAGACGTGATCGGGACACGTACCGAGGCGGTGGACCCCAAATCGACGCCGTTTCAGCCCTACAGTGAAGTCTTCGGGCTCCAGAGATTCAGAGAATGTGAGCTGATTCACGGTCGGTGGGCAATGCTCGCCACCCTTGGCGCTCTCACCGTCGAATGGCTCACCGGTGTTACTTGGCAAGACGCCGGCAAGGTACTATAGATAGCCTCTTTCTCGTCTCTCTCGTTTTTTTTTTTTTTTTTTAAATACCGTTTCCCTTTTCCCGTATGCGTTTGGACATTTGTCTGATTGTTTTTGGATTACCAGGTCGAGCTAGTGGATGGGTCGTCTTACTTAGGGCAACCATTGCCTTTCTCCATCTCGACATTGATATGGATCGAAGTGTTAGTGGTAGGCTACATTGAGTTCCAACGAAACGCTGAGCTGGACTCGGAGAAGCGTTTGTACCCAGGAGGCAAGTTCTTTGACCCGTTAGGATTAGCGTCTGACCCCGAGAAGAAGGCTCAGCTTCAGCTAGCTGAGATCAAACATGCTCGTTTAGCCATGGTTGCCTTTTTGGGTTTTGCTGTTCAGGCAGCTGCAACGGGTAAGGGACCGCTCAACAACTGGGCGACTCACCTTAGTGACCCGCTTCACACCACCATTATTGATACCTTCTCTTCCTCTTGATGTTGTGGCTTCAGCTTCTATGTAATGAAAATATGGCACCTTTTGTATAAACGGACTTCTGAGATCTCTCTCGCAGTTTGCGTTTGAGTTGATCACTGGAGTAATGAATGAGCCCCTTTTACCTCAAACGAAACGTTTGCTTCAATGTTGTAGAAACTGATCGCGTTAAGAAACACACAAATCATCATGTACATAAAATCCATGCTGAACCGGAAATTTAATTGACTCAAAAGTGACCACCGATAAGTGGATGATTCCATTCACCAAAAAAGAGTATTTTCTTTCTTCTACAGAGTAAAAAATAAGACACAGAGATAGCAACTAGTAGTAGTAATAAAAACAATTTCCCAAAACCCCCCTTGAACCACAATCCCACATCATTCGACAGAGGAAAGAGGACGGACCCGTAACCGTTCTTTGAACCTTTCTTTACTCAAAACAATAACGACCGAGAGAGAGAGAGAGACGCACGAGTAGTGATGATGAAAAGGCATAAAATTACGACTAGAGCATGAGCCTTGCGATCATTCCTTGAGTCCAGCGTGCAGTGACCTTGAGATCTTCATCCTCTGATTGGAGACACTCATTCAGGAACTCACCACAGAAGGTGAAGTTTTTGAACAACTGCTTTGTGCTCTCTCCTACAACATCCGCAAGATCACCCATTGCTGCAACCGCTGCTTTTGTCACACTCTCATCCCTGCTCCCAAAACCAAACCAACAGTGATAAGTTTTTCAACTGAATAGAGCTAATCCTATAATATGATATAAATTGATTCTTACAGTTCGTACCTAAGGGAATCTTTGGATACTACTTCAACAAACTGCAAGAGATGCTGAGCGTAAGGTATCATGAGCTCGGCTTTTGTGTCCTTGAACCCTTGTAGTATTCCGGAGTATGCCTCAAAGATGCTTCTCCGGAGTTGGTTTGCATAATCCATAAGCTCCTCGTCAAGCGTGTCCATCTGTGCACACACCTGAGCAGCCCCCTGCATGATCTGAATGGCTGGAGCTACATACCTTTCAAAATGAGCACCAATCGCCAGAGCAATGTCTCCAAAGCATGAGAATATTGGAGGCTTCACTGATCTGTGGAGTGCATCACTTTGAAGGTTTTGGATCAGGAGACCCATGATCTGATCGCAAAACGGCAGGATTTTTTCATCCAGGGCACGGCTAATATCACCAATCACTCCTACGGTGATTGAGCAGACTAGGAATTCTTCGAAATTCTGCAGTCCCATCTGGAGATATTTAAAGAGCTCGGCCATGTATTTTACAAACTCAGCTCCAGTCGCATAGGCAAGAGCACCGATTGCGAGCATGGCTTCTTCGTGGACACTTGAACTATGGCATCCAAACACTCTTAGAAACAGCCTCATGATGTCATCTGCGTTCTGCATTATAATGGGTCTTGTCTCATCTGAGCCACTCAGCTTCTGGATTATGACTTGGAGAACACCACACAAAGAAGCCTGAAGTTCCGCTTGCTTCTCACGATCATCAGTTGATATTATTGGCAGGTCCATCGTCTCAGCTAATTTTTTCATGATGGCAGGGAGGAGCTGGGCTATAATGCTAGAGGCCTCTGAAAGATTTGAACACCGAACAACCTCGTTCAAGGTTTCATACGCAGCACCTCTTAGCTTAGACTCTGCCCCATCTGTACGCTCAGCAGCTGCAAGCAGATGTGTGATGATCTCTGTAAGGTAAGGAGAGAGAAGAGACGAACTTGCTCCAGCATCTTCATATCCCTGTGCAAGATTATATATTGCTCCACACACCTTCTCTGCCACATTTGGAACATCTTTAATTGATTCTAGTAATACAGTCACAATTCTAGGGAGTTTTTCGGGAGATATAACAGAGAAGCCACTGTCTTGGGAGTGCAAAAATTCAAAGATACGGCTCAGAGTCCAAGCAGTTGTATCCCTGACATGGTTATTCCCATCCTTGGTTGCATTAAGGAGAAATTCCAAGCCAGCAGCGACCATCGGGGCAAGCTTATCAATTGTTGGTCCCTCCAAAATTGATCCAAAAGCGTAAGTGGCTGCCTCCCGGCTTCGCCAATCTGGCGAACTTATGTTTCTTTCAACAAAAGGCATTACGAGAGGGACTATACCATTTCCAACCGTGCTGGCAACGAGGCCAAGGCATGTCCCACCAGCCATAGCTATGTTCCAGATATCGTCGTCATGATCCTGATCCTCTTCTTGCTTCTGCAGAGTTTCTAGCAACATTTGAACTAAATGGGGAAGAGCCTTCTCTATGAAACAAGAATGGGGAAGGGATGAGTCACCACTATCAGGAATCTCGTACTCTTGACGGTCGATCTCTTCATCACAAATGGAACTCCAAAACTCGATTGCTTGGAGGGCAACACTCTCTTCATCTCCCTTTACAGCATTTGATGTGAGCTCAAAGAGTGTTTGCATGTATTGCTCCAGCACCTCGTAGTATGTGGATGCAATGGACACAAGGCACTCGAACGCAGCTTGTCTGATCTCTGCCTCCTTGGAACATGCAGTCTCGCATACCATCTTCATGATGTAATTTCTCTCCATTTCATTCTCAAAATTTGTCTGAGAGAAATCCAGGGCATTCAACAGTGCCTTTGTTGCTGCAAGACGAACTTCTGCGGTATTTTCAGACTGGTTCATGCCCTGCACAACTGCTGTGAGGACAGAATTCACTTCATCTTGCCCAAGATCGTGATGTGATATCTCTTCACAGACATAGCCTAGAGTTTCTAAGGTTGACTGCTTCAAGTGTGCGAGACTGCCTTGCTGGGTCATATTGTTAAGCAGGAATCCAACAAGTTCAGGCCACTGCTTCTGAGGAATTTCAATGGAGGCCACCTTTGCAATAACCTGTGCTGAAGTATGCCTCGCCTCGAGGGTAGATGAACCAAGAGTTGTTAGTAACAGTTCCTTGATCTGGGCTTTAAGAGCAATGTCAATAGCAAACCATTGTTTCACCAGATGATCTTTTCTGGCAGAATCTTTTGCATCCAGTGAGTTCTTCAGCAGAATACCAGCTAGTCGACGGGATTCAGAAGGTTTATCATTATTGGCAAGCTCACAAGACAATGATAATAAGAACTGCGGCAAGTTCTGTTCCTGGAATTGCCTGAGACTACCCTCTGCTTCAGTACGGATTCTTGCATCGACTGACTGGGCGGCCAAGAGGATCTGAGTAATCTCCATCGCCATTCTTCTCTCTGCATAACAA